TTGTGATTCATAAATATTAATAATAATAATATATATATATATATATACATATATAAATAAACACATAGATTTTAATACAGCTATATATGAAAACGTCTGACAGAGAGCTCACTTTTGTTAATAGTCTGATGCTGATAATTTCAAAATGTGTAATATCCCAGGTGATTAAACTGACTGACTGATTTATACAAGTCTATCATTTAAGTGATAAACTAGTTTCATTGACCGACGCCGATCCCAATATTCAGATACATATACATAATGACACATAATGGGGGTTGCCTATATTATAGGAAAACAGAATACAGAGAGCAAAGAAGCGGTGAGAAAGGGGATATGAGATCATGACATGATCCAGTTCAGACGCAAACCTGATTTCCTGTGAGCCAGCAGCACAACACACTGCGGCCAAACACGCACGAATAATCAGCCTGGACCATCTATTAATTTATTACTACAAGTAATGTTAGTTCCTACTGTAAGATAAGCGATTATACATTTTTTACCAATAAAACATAACTTTTACTGTACATAAACATTCACTGCTCATCTTGAGAGCTCTTTGGAAGCTTGATTTGACACATGAACATTAAATAACGTGTAAAAAATGCATGGGAAGAAACAACAAATCAATCTCTGCTCTTTGCTCAATAATATCCTTCGACCATCCATTCCAGGTCAATCCCTGCTATATGAGTCAATCCTGAAAATAATGAAATTAATAATAATTTTACAGACATGCAAAACACTACAGATTTCATTCATATAAACAGTCTTCTTAAAGAAAAAACTACATCAGTTTCTATATTACTCAACATCTCCTCAATATGGAAACTCCCCTGTAAACCTCAAGAGGCTGAACTTCTCTCCTATACACTGAGTGACTCAGAAATCCGGAGGTCTGGCAACAGATCGAGTTTTTCTAATACAATTGACCATTTAAACCTAGTTGAGACATGCGGGAAACTTTGGCAGTGAGTTTTCTGGAATTGAACCCATGCAAACCTGTTGCATTGCTGCTCAACATGGCTAGGACTGCTCACATTTGCATTCTCTTAAAGGGTGGATACTCAGAGTCTGAACCTTCAGAGAAGGTTAAAAGGTGCTGGACTTCATAAGGTGGCACATTGTGACATAATCTTGATCCGATCTCTCAGATTAAAGGCTATACAGCAACTGTTTTCAGCCATGTCATGTCCCATGCTACAAATAAGAACCTAATTAAAATGTGATAACTAGATCCCTAGAGAACAATAAAAAGATAAAACCTGGAAGGAAACAAGAACAGGTTGGAAATGAATGACTGCAGGCCCTTATAAACCGGAGTCACCTGTTAAATTGCCGTTCAAGTCCAATTTGGATGCATCAAAGAATGTCTAAAACTGAAAATGCCTAAAAATAACCAAGTCACACGAGATTAAGTGGTTAACAAGGCGAACCAAACGTGTTATCAAGCCATAGGCTAACTTGTCATAATTTAATAAATTTATAGACTAACATGCTGCCATTAACATGTTTAAAAGCATGAACTTTAGGTCTCTATGTTCATTTAAAGGCTAAACTAAATTAGTCTGGTTATAATACGTTGACAATATTTCTCAGGTAAATGTTAAGATATAATCTGGAAAGTTTTACTCAGATTGACTCAAAAGTTGGTGAACTGTCAAGGGGTTTTGCTGTCATTAATGCCTCACTTACATAAACAAAATGTAACAACAAACTAAATGGAAATGAAATAATATATATATTGAATTATTGAATTAAATTTTTTTTTTCATTTAAATGTTAAGTTTTGCAATTTTGTTGTATGCATTTGTCATTTTTATTTAATCTCTTTATTTTTAAAATATGTATAGTAAGTATTTATAAAGTTTTAGCTTTTAGTTTTGGATCTGTTTTTAGTTGTTTTAATACTACAATTGATTGCTTCTGTTGTCCTCATTTGTAAGTCGCTTTGGATAAAAGCGTCTAATAAATGACTAAATAAATAAATAAAAATAAATAAATAAACCGGTAAAAAACCGGCACTAAAAAGCGAGTTTTTAAATACAACGTGACATTTTTGTGATAATAAATCCGCTAACGTCAAAGTCAGACACTTTCTGAGAATATGACCTGTATGAATAAATGACTATTTCGTTATCTCTAGCCTGAGGGAACTGTCAGATTTGGTGCCGTTTAATCTTGACGGCTAATAACAGCTAGTAGCATTGCTACATGCTAGCGCGGCTAAAGCTGGGCCTCATGCGCGAGCCGGGAGCGAGTCCACCTCCGCGCGTCCACATTTCACTCTCCAAAAGTGGTCAAGAACCAGCAGATACACATTTACTATAAAACGTTTGCCTGAAAAGGTGGAAAAATAAGACTTGTACTTACTATTCCTTGATGAGCACCATCTTCTCTACACCGGTTACGGCTGCGCGCGGGCCTGCCGACGTCACGGCTGATGTCACCAGCCACGTGATTCCGCTCGACACAGATTCAGAAAGGATTTACAGAATCATAAACCATTAAGCTTTTGGGGGGGAAAAAAATGTATGTGCTATTTTATTAATGTAATTGATCTTATCCTTACAAAAAGTACTCTACCATGAGTATGGTATCAAGTGCCACTTTAGAATAATAATGTCAAAAACTACAAAATAAGACAAATAGGAATAATAAACATGAAAAGGGCCGTGTGAATCTCTCTTATATTTATTTAAGCTGCTTCTTTGTCACTCAGGACATTCATCAACCAACTTCATGAGATGCATTTTGGGATGTTTTTAATAACTGTTGAAGGTTTACATGCATGCTGGACACCTGTTGATCCTTTTTTCTTCACTATCTGCTCCATATCATGGATTTGTTTACATTTATGGATTTGACAGACACTTTTATCCAAAGTGTGTTGCAATGCATTCAAGCTATGGTCAAAGACGAAAAGGGGTTTTCGAGCATCAAAACAATAAAAGTTTAATACAGCTTTATTTTTTATTTTATTATTATTATTATGTTGGTACATTAGAATGAGTCCTATTTATTTATTTATTTATTTCCTGAGCAAAAATAATGACTATCATACATTTTTACCACACTCTAAAAAATGCTGGGTTAAATATAACCCAGCGCTGGGTTAAAAAGGGACAAACCCAGCTATTGGGTTGTTTTGACCCAGCGGTTGGGATGTTTTGAACCTAACCGCTGGGTCAAAACATTTTACCACACTCTAAAAAATGCTGGATTAAATATAACCCAGCATTTTTCAGAGTGCATGATTTAGAGAAGACGCCCACTAAAATGTCATTCAGTAAACCATAGTTTATATAGGCCTACAAAAAACTCTTGTTAGGCATACATGACAATACATGACATTAAAATACTATTTATGGATCACAGTGCAGCCCTAAAATACTAATTAATTGTCATTTTAAATCTTTAACCTCTGGGTCAAAACAACCCAATTGCTGGGTTTGTCCCTATTTTACCCAGCACTGGGTTGTGTTTAACCCAGCATTTTTTAGAGTGTTCAAACCACTAGGCTTTACCCATTTGTTTTTAATAATTTAAAATACAATAAAATTTAGTATGATCACTTTTCTTTTATATATTTAAGATCAGAATAAGTATGTTGTTTCATTTTGACATAAATATATCTGTTACGCTGAATGACAATGGAACATTATATCACCCATATTTTGACATTTTTTCACAAAAGGTATTTGAAAGTAGGCACTTGCATTTAATATGCTTTCTATGTATATACAATCACTTTTGTTAGTTTAATTTGATGCAGACACCAAAATGGGACATCTCGTCTTTGACCCATTTTCAATTGATACTTTCCCTGGGAACTGAACACATGACTTTGGTTTTGCTAATACAAAGCTATGGGAACATTATACTTGGTGTTTGATTAATAAGTTCAAGATCAAAAGGTTCAGATAATCATAATCATGAAAAAAAAATTATATTTATCTAAGTGTATACAAACTTTTCACTTGTGGTATACCATACTGAAATTATAACATATTCCAAGGAATAACTCTAGGAGTTCCAAGTTATCATAATATGTCCAAAAACCATGCAAGTACCATTTTTTGTTTGTGTAGACTTGGTGTGCTTCCTTTTTCTAACCATTTTGCAGAATGGCAGCAAAATGAGTCTCCTTTTCTTATTGAATCATTAAGAAACAATAACTTACCTGCACAAAATACTGATCTTTTGAAAATGACATAGCACAGAAATCTGATGATAACCTAAAAGTGACTCTCTGTGGGATAGTACTCCAATATATTACGGACATTATCTCTGCATATTAATTATCACATGTTACTTCCATTTATTTGAGAATACTCATTCAGTGACTAATCCCGACTTCATTGCCTTGTAAGACACACATATAATGTTCAGATTTCTACAACTGGCCTTGTCCCTATATCTGACCAAAGAACATAGTCCACATATGCTGAAGGTAACAGGAGGTACACATTTGTTGAACAAATATTTATGAATATAGTGAATTTTAAATCAATAGAAAGATAAAATTGTATAGAAATATGAAAAAAATATCAAAAACCTATTTGTAAAGTACAATCATTATACCTAATCATTAAAAAACACTGTGGAAAGTGATTTGTAATAAAATAGTTGGTTACAAATAATTTATTATTATTATTTATTTGATCGCTTGCTTATTTATTTATTGCGGGCTTCACCCATAATTTATTTTTTATTTATGAAGCTATTATAATCTTTGAATTCTGTTGTATAGTAATAGGAAAATGAATAGCAGACCACCACAAGAGAGTAAATTAAACTTTTTATTGAGACCATTTTACTGAGAAATGACTGAGATATGTCTGGATGAGAGTCCACATATGCAAAATCTCTGTTAAAAAGACACTGAATCACTGGAGAGCAAGAGAACCCATGCTGTAATACTGACACTCAATTCACATAGAAGTCAGGTCAGGTGCGTCATCACCATCTCAATAAAAATATGAAAATGTTTTTTCAACTTTTTTTTGTGCATGGTTTGCTTCTTTAACAATATAAAAATGTATAATACTGATTGCAAAACGTTGATTTAATTTACAAAACAAATAACTGTAATAACAATTACCATCCATAATAATAATAATAACAATAACAATAATAATATTAAAAAAAAAGAAAAACAAAAAACAAAAGAAATAAACCACAGATAATCATAATCATGAAAAAAAATTATATTTATCTAAGTGTATACAAACTTTTCACTTGTGGTATACCATACTGAAATTATAACATATTCCAAGGAATAACTCTAGGAGTTCCAAGTTATCATAATATGTCCAAAAACCATGCAAGTACCATTTTTTGTTTGTGTAGACTTGGTGTGCTTCCTTTTTCTAACCATTTTGCAGAATGGCAGCAAAATGAGTCTCCTTTTCTTATTGAATCATTAAGAAACAATAACTTACCTGCACAAAATACTGATCTTTTGAAAATGACATAGCACAGAAATCTGATGATAACCTAAAAGTGACTCTCTGTGGGATAGTACTCCAATATATTACGGACATTATCTCTGCATATTAATTATCACATGTTACTTCCATTTATTTGAGAATACTCATTCAGTGACTAATCCCGACTTCATTGCCTTGTAAGACACACATATAATGTTCAGATTTCTACAACTGGCCTTGTCCCTATATCTGACCAAAGAACATAGTCCACATATGCTGAAGGTAACAGGAGGTACACATTTGTTGAACAAATATTTATGAATATAGTGAATTTTAAATCAATAGAAAGATAAAATTGTATAGAAATATGAAAAAAATATCAAAAACCTATTTGTAAAGTACAATCATTATACCTAATCATTAAAAAACACTGTGGAAAGTGATTTGTAATAAAATAGTTGGTTACAAATAATTTATTATTATTATTTATTTGATCGCTTGCTTATTTATTTATTGCGGGCTTCACCCATAATTTATTTTTTATTTATGAAGCTATTATAATCTTTGAATTCTGTTGTATAGTAATAGGAAAATGAATAGCAGACCACCACAAGAGAGTAAATTAAACTTTTTATTGAGACCATTTTACTGAGAAATGACTGAGATATGTCTGGATGAGAGTCCACATATGCAAAATCTCTGTTAAAAAGACACTGAATCACTGGAGAGCAAGAGAACCCATGCTGTAATACTGACACTCAATTCACATAGAAGTCAGGTCAGGTGCGTCATCACCATCTCAATAAAAATATGAAAATGTTTTTTCAACTTTTTTTTGTGCATGGTTTGCTTCTTTAACAATATAAAAATGTATAATACTGATTGCAAAACGTTGATTTAATTTACAAAACAAATAACTGTAATAACAATTACCATCCATAATAATAATAATAACAATAACAATAATAATATTAAAAAAAAAGAAAAACAAAAAACAAAAGAAATAAACCAGTCAAAGCCGCATCATCTTCACTAACACAAACAGCGAGCCTTTTTGTCTTTTTTTGAAATACCATTTTGGTATAATCTCTTCTTTTTTTTTGTCTGACATGCCTTGCGCAAGTCTAAGATCAGTCTGCATGTATAAACGGTCCTTTACAGTGTAGGTGGAAGCATAAGGATTATATGCTCTCTGCACGGAAAATAAAGCAGTAGGCAGTTTGAGGCTTCTGGGAATGTGCACTTCCTCACCCAGACTGTCCTTTTCACTGTTTTCAAGAGTTATAAATACTCAAAATACTCCTTTTTCAAGAGAAGCCAGTCAGAGGGACAGAATCTCAACATTTAGATGAAGGGAAGAACCGTCCCGGCGAAAGGAACTTGTACCCGTTCCCTGAAGGCAGTCGGATGGGATGTGACCCCGGACTGCTGCCGGTGGAAGCCGTCGGAGAAGGCGCGACTCTCTTGGGATCGATTTTGCGATGGCCGTTGGGCGGATTTCTGTGTTCGAGTGCCACATCTTGGCCGGGCGTATCTTGTCCTGTCACGCCATGCCGGGGCGAGAGGTTCAGAAGGCCCAGGACATCTCGTTTGGCGGTGCTCAGCTTCCCACCGCGGAGCGCCCGCATTGATCCCGAGTGCTGCTGTTGGGTGGCGCTGGCCCAGAAGGTCTTGAGATTGTGGATCGCTTGGACTTTATCGTCAATAGCAGCCAATTTGAGTCGGTCGATATCCGGGGCGTCCGCCGGACTGGAGCGCGTCGAGCCCGTCGAGGAGTAGGACAATGCCGGAGAGGGTGCGCTGCCGGCCGGAGACTGGTGGCCCGAGCTGGGCGAGACGTTGCTGGGCGAGTGGGAGATGTGGCCGCTGTAGGGCGAGCTGGGATACTTGAGTTTAAACTGGGCATGACTGTCAGAAGTTGGCGACGGTTGGCTGCCTTCCTTTAGGGACGTCTCGGACGTAGCGGGGCTGTTGTATCCCGAGCTGACCTTCTGTAGGGACGACGTACGGGAGGGCGGTTTGGGGCGTGTTGGGAGTGGAGACGACTGCGCCTTGATGCTCGCCCGGCTACTAGGGCGACTGAACGCGCTCGTCTCCGAGGAACGGAAAGCAGACCCTCCAGTCGGGGTCGGAGGGCCTCCGCCGCCCATCCCGTCACCAAGCGGGACACTCCCAGTGCTTCTCTGCAAAGTCTCGACGGCCCGCATGTGGCTTTGCGTCTCTTCCAGGATCTTCTGTGCCAGTTCCTGCGGGTCCAGAGCGGCACCAGGCGTACGTTCCTCTTGGGACTTCACAGTGCTGTCTGTCTCTGTGCTGGATTGATCGGATTCGCCCGTGTCGGAGCTGCTCACCTTCCCGACCTTCTGGAAGGGAGAGTTGAGACTGGGAACCAGGGTGGCTTTGACAGGGGACGTTGGGGTGCTGACGCTTCCCCTGGAGGACACGGACACTGCGTAACCTCTGCCGGTCCCGCCGCGCGCCGCGCCCCGATGGTTCCTGTGGTTTGTGGGACGAGGGAGCGTGTCGCATTGGCTACCCAATGGCTCGCTGCTGATTATACTGTATCCTTCATACTCTTCATCATCATGCCCTCCCACGGCTCCATGTGGGGACGAGCGGCTGCGGGGCACTGACGTGTGCCGGTGGGACGCGAAAAGCCCGGCTCCACCCCGATGCCGCTCTAGTTCCTGCTGACGCGAGCGCTGGCTGATAAAATCAGACGCGCCTTCGGGACGGGACAGGAAACTCATGGAAGAGGCGATGGAGCTCAGGCTGTAGACGGAGATGGCATCAGAGGCCAGGCTGTCAGGGCATGGAGGGGAGAAGGGAGGGTTGGGGTAGCCCATAGGCAGCTGGTGGGACACAGACTGTGCCGAGGCCAGAGACTCCAGAGACGATGAACTGTCCAGACTCAGACGCTTCGGCAGCTCAGTAGAGTCTGAAGGGAACATTAAAATGCAATTATTACAAAGTCAGATGTTATATATAACGTTATATATTTTAAGGGTGTATAGATTTAGACATTTTATTTCCAGTAAAAATAGTAATAGTGATTATTTATGGCATGTAATTAATGACATTAGATAATATTATTAATATTATTATTTTGCCAGTATTGTACTGTATATACAATGTAAAATATAGGTTATATATTGTTTTTTGCCCATTTATTTAGTCAAAATTTAGTTTGCTCAATTTTAGTCAAGTTTAAATTAGTCCAAATTTAAATTTCTAGTATAAATATTGAAATTTTATTGGTGGGAAAAATAGAAATAATATTGGTGGGAAAAATAGAAATTATGATTTTTTTTTAATTTAGTTTTTATGGCATGTAATGAATGACTTATTACAAATGATATAATTTTTAAAATGGTATATTTTTACCTATATATTAGTGGTAAATAGAGTACTACTAATAAAGTTGTACATATTTATATAATTGTCTTTTTTTTGGTAAACTGTCAAATTTACCCAGTTTTTTGTTTTGTTTTAGTCATAGTTATTGTTTTTTGCATCTTTTTTTCTTTTTGGCTGAAAATAACATTACAATTTCAAAAATAATGTGAATTCAATTTTTTATGCATCGTTATGCTTATTTTAAAATCCTTTTTATGTAAAGAACTTAAAATTACCAGTGTGTAAGATGTGCTATATAAATACACTTCCCTTGTCAATAAAAAACTAACAAAAAAACAGCTTATTTGAGTACATTGAAACAGCCTTTATCTTGTCTTTAGTATCAATGACAATTCTAATTTAAAAAAACCTTTACAATGAATTATTCCGTTTTGTTGATGTGATTAACAATGTGAGGGTGAAGTGATGCTCACCAAACAGTGCCAGCAGTGATTGTAGGGCAAAGTGCATGGTGCGACGGTTGGCCTGTTTGCCCGTCTTCAACACCACCTCCTCCTGACCGACCTCACACAGGTCGAACCCTGAGAGAAAGAGAAAGACTGACCCCTCAGCATGGAGAAAAGCATCTCGATCAGTACTTACAGTATGTGCTGAAGCTTCTCTTACCCAGAGCGGCCAGGAACTCATGGCAGCCAGGAAGTCTCCAGAGCTGCACGCTGATGGACACTTGGATGGGCGCGAGAGAGAAATCCTGCTCCTTCTCTCCAGACTGAAGCTGCACTAAAACTTGATGGAGCTGTGGAAAAATGAGAAAGATCTTAATGATGTCAAACACAAAAAGGGCTTATTTTATTTTTATTTACACTAAAACAGCAGCTAAAAATCACTGGCAAGTTAATTTACGGTAGTGTATTAGCGTTAGTTAGAGTTAGTTGCACTTACCATTCCCACTACATTTTTAACAGCCTTTAATGATAAGTTCGGGAAAAGAGAAGGAAAGAGGATTGTTAAAAAGCAAACATGAGCATCTCAATAATCCAGCAGGCACTCATCACAGCAGTGTAGTTATGCACAGATCAGATGCATGAGCACAGGACAGTTCACTTAAAGCAAAGTAAAGTGTGTTCTTGATACATGCTGTGACATCTTACCCGGTTGATCAGCTGTTCTCCGGTTTCTGATGCTGTGATCAGTTTACACAAAGCCTGTAGAGCAGGAGGAGGCAAACCTGCGAACATGAAGGACAAATAACTCTTTAAACCCTTGTGCTGTGCTGAAAATACTCCTAATTTGCTGTTCCCGGTCAAAAATGTCTGGCCTTTTAAAAATTGCTTGTAAATCTAGCATTATGCTATATTAATCACCAAACCTTGGATTCAATCTTTTTGTCAACTTGTTTTCTTTCAATTAGCACTGGTTTTGTATTGGTTTTGGAACTGATTCCTCAACTGAGGACTGATCTGAATTCATGCACCTCAGTTTTTCTGTGAAAAAAAAGCATCATTTGTGGATAATTTTGTCAACGTTCACTCATAAACTGAGATGCATAAGCTCAGATCAACTATCAATCAGTTACAAAAAGAAATGCAAACATAAGTCACTTGAAACATTTCCAATGACAAATAAGTGAGAATTTACACATTTGACTTTTCCTGTTCTCACTCGTTTGATCATTACACACAGTAAACACAATTCTTTTTGCCATTTTTGTGTGCGATATGCATCAGTCCAAGAACGCTCTGTGGGTTGGTAATCTTTTTCCTCCATACTCTTGTTTTTTAATAGTAAATGAGTGTGGCAGCGTGTCGTACCCAGCAGTGACTGTAGGGTGGTGCTGCATTGCTGCAGTCGGTCTCCGGGGTCGGTGGTGGGGAAGAAGACCGCCGCGGGGAGGCCCGTTCCAGCCGAGTCCAGTCTGAATCCCACCGCGGTCAGCAGAGCCTGCCAGCCCGGCACGCCACCCACCTTATTCTCCACACTCTGCTGAGACGTGTACATGGAGTTCCTCTGGCCGTTCTGGATGCGCTGGAGAGATTTCTCCACCTGGGGGAGCCACACAGACACAGATGATTTGTTTGTACCTGACAAAAAACTGGATACTCCTACTTATTGTCTGTTACTACTATTTCCATATTTTCCATTGAATATGACACCTATGAAGCACAAATAAAAATATAAGAATTAAGTAAAGTAGTGACCAAATTTTGTATATAGAAATATATTTGTTATAATATATATATACTGTATATATATTAAATTCATAAATATAATTGCATATATATATTTACATTTAATACTGTAATTTTACTATATTATACTACATTTTTTACTGTAACATTTCTACTTTAACATATTCTATTTATTGCAATATATATAAAGTATATATATTATATGCTTCTATATTACTATCTACATGTATTATATAATGGTACAAAATAATAACTGATATATATATTATACAATGTACACACACTTATAAATACTAAGACGATGGGGTCTGGGCTCGCCTGAGCCAACGTGATGAACATTAATCGTTCCTCCATTTTGGGACGTGGAGGAACGCACGGGAAGAAACAAATCAAAAACTTTCAAAAAAAGGAATTCAAACGGGGAGAGGGGGTGCCGCTTACTTTTTTGGTCCGCTGTTCTGTCACAATACACTTAGAGGAACGAGGAGACGCTGGAGAATACTTTAACAAGACTTTAATTCCAGGAACCAAGGGAGACGAACTCAGGAAGACGTTTAACAGCGGACAGAGAACTCGGGACTGGGAACACTTTAAATACACACAGGAGGAGGGGATGACGAGACACACCTGGGAGCAATGAAACATCAAGGGAAACACCTGGGACAAATGAACTTAATCAGGACAGGAACAGGAAACTAACCAAATAAGGGCATAGGAAGGCACATGGGGAGCAAGACACACACAAAACATGGAACATGAGTCTGACAATATGCATGTTATATATAAAATTAAATATATTGAAATAATTATTACAAACATAAAATTTACTATATTAAAGCAATACTATATACAATTTTAATTTTGATTATTACAATAATAATAACTGATATGCACACAATAAAATATAATATTATATTTTATACTTTTAAACAAAAGCATATAAAATACTATATAATAGATCAAATTAATCATTACAATAATTAAAAAACAACTGATATATACAGACATATAAACACTTAATATGCAGACTATACACACAAACAATTATATACACTACTAATATATTTAATATATATTTATACTATATTTTTGCATATAAATAATTTACGCTCATTGCATACAAAATAAAATGTAAAGCATATAAAATGTACTATAATAGATCAAAATGTCACACACACGCACAGGTTTGTTTTTGTGAAAAGTGGGGACATGGGGTCATGTCCTGAAAAGTCACCCCTTCCTTGTAATATCTATGTCATACCCTTGTCATTATACAAATTTATGTCCTTATTTGTCACAAAAACGTGCACACGCACACACACACACACGCACGCACGCACGCACACACACACACACACACACACACACACACACACACATATATATATGTATTTCATTTTATATTTATGACATACGTCTTTAAGTTCTTATATACACTACTATATGCACATATATGATTTTTCACATATATTTATTCTCAATAAACATAAATCAGACCAGTGGTCCTGGTAAAGCTGGTGTGTGTTTCTCACCAGGTGCAGCAGAACCCTCAGGGCATCTCTAGCTTTGTCTGGATACTGCAGGATCTCAGCCAGAGCCTGACCAATCAGAGACGACGGGCTGTTCAGTTTCACGTCACTGCCAATCAACATGAAGCCTGTGGAGAAGACATATTCAAATCATGAGGAGAACAGCAAACAAGCCTTAAAACTACCCATTATATACTCAATACTGCCTAATACTATATTAAAGTGACATGTGACCGTATGCAGTAGTAGTATACTATATGACATCACTGCACATGTTTAATAGTGTCAATTATTCATATAGTATTCACCACAGTATGATTTGCTTATATACTGCACACGTTTCAATGCCGCTGCGATCATACCTGCCCAGTTGGAGGGGTGTGAGAACTGTTTGCTGCTCTGGACGGTCTTCATGGCGTCTGCGAGGGCCGCGCTGGCTTTGGTGCCGTTGAGCAGAGCGCTGTAGAATGCGTGGATGAACATCTTGGACGCAGTGACGGGAACCGGCCACAGAGACACCAGCACACACTGAGCTCCAGCCGCCAGGAAAGCCCTGGTCAAACCCACCACACCGTCCGCCGTTACTTTACTGTCCGACTCCTGGTACGAGCTGCAGGTCACGAAAACACACTCGATCAGCATCATGGAGCAGTAATTCACTGGAATACAGACGCTATTATCTTAAATAGACTGTAAAACTACTGTGGATGTGGCTGCAGTCGTAGTACAGCCTGTCAAACAGAAGTTATGTATGAAAATGCTGATGCATAGATGAGGGTGGGCAGTATGAACAAAAGCATATATAATCGTATGAGTGATTATATATCAGGGTAACAGTACTCACACACAACGAAATAATATACATGTTATATATACAATTATATAATTACATTTTATACTTTATAACATATTTTTTATATAGTTATATAAACTACTATATGCACATTGTATATAAAAAATAGAATTATTAAAAGCATATGAAAATTAGTAATAAAACAATACCAAATAATAATTACAATAATTAAAATAATAGTAATTATATATACAGTATATATAGTATATATATATATATATAATGACTTAATGAATTACATGAATTCAAAGAAAGTGAATTATATTTATTTCATACTAAAAATATGCCTACATGAATTTATTAAAATATGAATATATTAAAAGATGCCTAATTTTGCTTAGAATAAATAATAAAATAAAAAGTAATTAAATAAAATGTAATTAAATTAAATTAAAGAATTATTTGTTTTTATTTGAACTTTGGTGAACCTAAACAAAAAGATCAGATAAAATAAAACAAAAAGGTTAGAACAAATTTGCTTCACATTATGTAATTAAAAAACAAAAAAATTAAAACAAACAAACAAAAAAATTAAATAATTATTACACAAAAATAATTATAATTATAAATAATTATAACACAAAATAAAGTTTGTGATTTTCAAAAAAATAAATAAATAAATAAAAAAGTTCAAAACGAAAAAAGTCCTGGACATTTTTCTAGTTGATTTAGACTGTATAAATATACAGTATATATATATATATATTAAATGATAAAATAAACTAAAACTGAAATAAAAAATGAAATTATATAGATATAGTAAAGCAACAAAATTATTAAAACATTAACTAAAATTTAAATTAAAACAAACAAACAAAACAAAACCTAATTAAAAATATTATTAAAAAATACAATAGTGTCTCAATGATACATAAATGTTACTGGTCTACTGACCCCAGCACGATTAGTTTTGTGGGCAGCCTGAGATCGAGGATGTCGGCTGCGGTGAGCAGGAACTCCTGCAGCGGCGGGCTGTCACAGATGCTTTCGGCATCGCTGGCGTCGTCCGGCACGCGCAGACTCTCCGGGATGGTGTAGTTGGATTTGACTCCGCTCTCTCCACCTCCTGCTCCTCCGCTGGGAGCCACTGCCACCGGTCCGGAGCTGGGGTCCTGGCTGGGTGTGAGGACCAGAGCCGCCAGCTTCCAGGAGATGTGCGTGGCGAAGTGGGCGCACTCGGCCTGCGTGAGGGCACTCATGACCCGCTCCTTGGTGGCGGCGGGACCGGCCAGCGGCTGACAGCCCAGGAGATCGGCCACCATGTGAGCCTCCTCCTCAGCCGTAGGCATCGGACCCCAGAGCCAGCGGTCCATCACCGACGGCGGCAGCCGAGGATTCCCCACCACTGCGGCCATGGAGCTTCCTCCATTACACACAACCGGACCGCTCCGCCGAGGGTGAACCTGAAGAGACAAAAACAAGGTGAGTTTGTGGGCCAAAACAGTTAAGGTAAAATTAATATTTTGCATGTTGCTGATGCTCCCTTATAAAAGCATTAAGGCACTTGAGAATGTATACTACATTGAATTTACCACAAGTCAAACCAAACCAAACCACACTCTTTAATCACAGTAAAATCACTGTAGCCTTATTATATCTCATATGCCTTATTGCTTTATTAGTCTTTGAAATGAACCAAGAGACCATCAGGCACATAGTAGTATATATCAGTGGAAACTACTTAAATAGTTTTTGTGAATTTAAATACAGCTAAAATAAAATAAAATAATATATAAATATTACATTAGAAAATTAGAAAGGTTGCCTTGGCAACTAGCTGAAATAAATAAATGAAATAAACTGAAGTACCAAAATGACTAAAACTAAAACTGAAAGAGATATGTCAAAGCTAATTAGAAATATATCACCATGTGAAAATTCCTATTTTCAATAATCCAGTAAATTATTATTATTATTATTATTTTTATTTTGGACTTGATGAATAAAACCAAAGGTTCCGAAAAATACATATCAAAAGTGATTACAAAAATGCTCAGAAGAGTTTAATAATAATAATAATAATAATAATAATAATTAGGGATGCACCGATACCACTTTTTTCAGTACTTGCCCGATACCGATACTTTTATTTTTGATACTTGTCGATACCGAGAACCGATACCGATTTTTTTATAAGATCACACAACAGAAGTGCGCGCTCTCTCTCTCTCTGTCTCTCCCTCCCTTCCTACCGTTAAGTAACTTGTGCATTGTCTTACTTACTTGTTTTTGACATATCCGGCCGAACTACAAACTTTCCAGTGATGTCTGTGAGATAGGGATATTAACTCGACAAGCTCGCGCATCTGCGCCGCCGCGCGCTCAATCCACTCAGCGTGCTTTGCTCATCAACTCACGCACATCAGCTATACAGGTGTTAATATTGAATGTTTAACATTATATTCATTGCATACATATACTTCGTAGACATCCTTAATCTCTAATAACTCCATTCTGCTGTCTGTTGTTCTGTTGTCAGTGTTTCATTGTCTGAATATGGCACTTAACACATGCTGTGTGGTATCGGCGTTTGGTATCGGGGTATTTTAACGAGTACGAGTACGAGTACAGGAGCTCAGTATCGGGCTCAGTATCGCATCCCTAATAATAATAATAATAAACATAAAATAAAATAAAATATGAAAACTAGATAATTAGCCTTGGAAATTAACTGACATAAGTACTAAAGTACTAAAATGACTAAAACTGAAAAAGTTATATATATATTAAAGCTAAACATAAATTACAAAAAAAAAACTCAAAAATGAAAAAAAAGCACTTAACAAAATTACTAACAGTAAAATGAAAATGAAAAGTGAAAATATAAAAATAAAAGCTAATATTAAAATATGAAATTCAAAATATTAATAAACACTTAACAGTATATAAATAATATAAAAATAATGGTATAACTGGTCTATATGTCTGTCAGAACTGTGCCTACTTTAGCCGTGCTCCCCAGACTGCCGATGGACGGTACGGCGATGAGACCGAACCGCTCCTACAGATACTCATTAGATGAGCTTCCCTTCAGCAGCGCAAACGGGATGAGATACAACTCGCCCTCCAGAACCAGAACCAGCTGTCTGTGTCTGCCGACCGGACCGCTGGAGTGCATCAGACCCTGCAGAGAGACAGAAAAATTACATACTCAAAACTACACTGAGCAAGCCAATAAATAATGGATATATATCAGAAAATGGGTTTAAAAATAAAAGAATAGCCAACATTAAGTTAGTGAAAAAAATAAACATATATATATATATATATATAAATATAAAAAAGTTGCTACAAACCAATTAATGAACTATTACTTAGTGGACAACTTATTTACTGTGAGTATTATTACTAATCAATGTAATTATTTATTGAACATTAGTGAAGTGTGAGTGCAGTCGTACCCCCTCCATCGGGGCGATGAGCAGGTCGTAAAGGGCTCGTAACGGGGGTTTGCTGAGCGCACTGGCGCGGCACGACAGAGACGAGGAGCCCTCCTTCACCGGAGACACCGTGTTACTGAAGAGACTCGTCATGCTCTGACAACTCCTGAAAACACACCACAAACACACTGATGTGTGCTGCGCAGTACATACTGTACAGCTAAAACTGCATGTCAAGTAGTATGCAGTGATTTCATTCACTTTTGTTTAAAAATCGTAACTTTTGGCAGTCGGATCCAAATAAGTCAGGAAAGAGATGCTTAATAAAATGGATGATACTGTATCCAGCTCATCCATCACACTGGAAATAGAGTATGCATACAGTATACACTTTCTTCATAAAAACAGTATGTTGTGTGCTATTTCAAAGATATTTATAGTGACGAATGGGAGAAGATGAAGCCATATCACACCACCTCAGACTCTATGAGTCATATGAAACTGAAACACTAGATGGCGATGTACACCTGAAAAACAGTAGCACTCATGTTTAATGAGTTTCGAATTCCTCTCGAGTTTGTTTCGAGAGGTATGTTCATGTTCACTCAGAAAGCAACTTAAATAAAATATATTAGTTAAAGGTTACATAATGTGTTACAAAAAGAGGTCACAGTGGACCTTCTTAGAATAAAGACAGAATCATAGCAGTACAAATAATAATAATAATAAATTAATATGAATATTAATAATTAATAGTGTACTGTATACTGTCAACAACAAATGATAATAATAATAATTAGTAATGCTATACTGTATACTAATGACAAATAATAATAATAATAAGAGTAATTAAGAATAATTAAGTTATACTGTACACTTGAATAATAATTATATTGTATACTAATGACAAATAATAATAATAATTAATATTATAAGATATATAATAAATATTATAAGATTTAATTAAGATATGATTTATTTTTAATTATTATAATTATTTTATTTTATTTATTTTATTTTTATTTTATTCTAATTATATAATTATTTAATTATATAATTATAATTATTATTTTTATTGTATGTTTACAATATAACACTATTAATTATTCTTGGCAGAGGAACTGTTTATTGTGATTATTATCTTTTATGAAATGATCATTAGTGTTGTTTATCATATATCCGTGCGTTGGAGATTTGCCTCGAGCGCTTTACTGCTTTAATCCCGCAGGACCACGTCACTGTGGATCTCTTGGGATAAAGGCAGAAGCTACATATCACCTTACAGATGACATCAAAACACCTCGTTATTAAAGAATCTGTGGAGGTGTAACGACTCCACATGCTCGAGATCTAATCGCCATCACTATGGAAACCGAACAGTTCCGCAGACAACTTCCTTCCCACTTCCTGTCACAGAGCTCTATCATTACTCTTATCACTTTTACTATTAAAATGCTGAACTAAAATAAAATACAAATATTCAATCAAATTGTAAACTTACAAAACTTGAAATAAACTAATTGAAATACAATAAAGTAACGTTGAAGTGCTAAAATTACTAAATCAAAAACGGGGAGAAAAAAAAAACACAATAAAAATTACAAAAACATCTAAAAAAATTACTAAAATTTAACATTAAAATTTAAACTGAAAATATAAAAATAAATGCTAATTCAAAATCGAAACACTGAAAATAAAGCTGAAATATAATCAAATAAATATTCAATGAGAAACTTAAACTTAAAAAAAAAACTTAAAATAAGTTTAAGTAATAAAATAACAAAAACTATTTTAAGCAAAAATTATTTTAACAAATTTTTAAAAAAAATGACAAACTAAAACTTAAACAAAAATTTTAATAATAACCGAAAATCTAAAAAAGCTAATTCAAAATATTGATAATTGCTAAAATAGTACTAGATATAAATGCACTATATTCCAGTAGAAATAACAAAATAAAAAAAATTTGTTCACTGATAATTTTACTTTCAGTGAATCCAGATCAGTGAACGAATCATTCACACTAATTCTAAAGATCTGTTTCAAAAGAATTCATTAATACCTGATTCATCAATGAATCATTGTTGGATCTTTTTAATGAATCTTTGGATCATGACTTTTCTCATGAACCCTTATGTGTATTTTCGGTGAATAAAACGCTTAAATTTGTGTCTCTACCTCAAACAAATCTATCATATGACTTCAGAACACAAAATATAGTGAATAAGACATTTTGAAGCACCTGTAAGACATTTTAATGCTTCACGCCCACTATACTTAAAAGAGCAGGATACTCTTAAAAAGTCTCACTGCTTGCGAATAAAGTCAAACAGGTTTAAGGGTGAGTGAACGATGCCAGAATCATCATTTTTGGCTGAATTGTTTGTTTAACGCGGTGACACTTGCTCATTAGGGCAGATGAGGAATGAACGGCCCTCGGGGACGGTTCTTTGTTTTAATGAATATACTGTAGAGAGATGTGCAGCGCTGAGAGCTCTTAATGAGGAGCACGGCTCTAATGATGACCGCTCTGACCCCGTCTTTAACAACGCACCGCATAACCTCGCCTCATCCCCTCGCTGTTCCTGTCCTAGCTGACATTTCTCCCTCCCTCCCCCTCTTTCAGTGCTAATAACCATCTCTCTTTCTCTCATAATGAATCAGGATGTGAAGGACTCGACTGAATGCCGAACTATCTCTCCCTAATTATCGTCCGTCTGAGCTGCTCTTTCCCACCGGCAGAGTTTAGATCCATTATGAGCAAAATGTTTACTAATTGCTTAATTATTTGGTGTTGATTGGGGTTTTCTTTGCTTTTTGAGAGCTTTCTCTTACTTTAGATTAATACCAAATGGTTTATTTTGGTTAATAAATTGGCCATTTTTTTGCCAATGGGCTTTTTGCCAATGGATTGAGAAATAAGTTTAGATACATTACGAGTATAATGTTTAATAATTGCTTAACCCTCTACCGCATGGTGTGGCCATATGGCAACATGGTCTTTGTGTTCATTTCCTTGCCACTGTCTCTTTAAGAGAACATTCTCGTTTTTTTTGTTGGAAAGAGAAGACCTTAGTTTAGCCAATGATGTGCTTTGGGTAAGTCACATGACATGCAGTTTTTTTCTGTGGCGAGATTTCTGACAGACTGCCCTCTCTTGTCGGTAGTAGCTGAAAGCAAACTAAAACGTCAGTAACAAACAAGGACCAGTCCGTGTCACTTCCACAAAAAAATCGGAAACATCACTGTTATGATGTTATGATGACATATTCACCTCTCAAAAAAGTTTTTATGAAATTAGTTTTTGGTAAATCATTCAAATGTATGTGTTGCCATGCGGCAACACTGTGCAATAGTGGAATGACATTATTACAATAGTTTAGCTAGCTAACAAGGTCAGCTGCAATTTGTTAAGCTGTAACAATAACAACATTAATACTAGTGATATAATGTTGATTAGTCATATGTTAATGGCATTTGTATTATGGATATAATCAAATTGAAATGGCAATTTTACTTTTGATTAAATATGAATACAGGTAACATTACATCAGTGAGCACGGCCATATTCTATGGCAAGGTAATTAAGAAAAGGGCAGAACTGGTTCTTCCTGCAGATGAAAAAAAAAACAGCTTTTTAAAGTTTCATTCATAAAAAAGGTGATCTTTCAAGGATTAAGGGGGGATGGAGGGATGGGGGGCTCATGTTCATAGTCTTCCTCTCATAAGATTGTGTAATGCTGAATTTTCATGAACTGCAATGTTTTTGGTTTTATGTCAATGTTTTATGATACATGATATACAGTATTATATTTGTTTTAACTGTATAAATTTGCAATTTAAATAATATTCATGAAAAATGTAATGAAATTAAAAAATTATAAATCATTATTCAGCAAAAAATAATGGAATAAATAAAAGCACAAGTTGTTGGAAAGTATGTATAAGGTGTCAATTATAAGTAAGTATTGTGTTAAAGCTTATAATAGCACCAATTGAATCAACACAAACAACATTTCTGAGGAAAAATATGAACTATAAGTAAACTTACACTTATTCTAAGTTAGATTCACTATTGTATGCTGTTGCCGTATGGCAACATATCATAAAGTACCTTAAAATAATATTTTTTTCAAATTTTTTTTTTTACAGCACTTCAAGTTAAGCCATTCTTAGAAAAGAAAAAGAGTCAAATATTTTTTTCTATAGGTCTATCATAATGCGTGCGGTAGAGGGTTTATTTGATGTTGATTGGGGTTTTCTTTGCTTTTTCAGAGCTTTCTCTTACTTTAGATTAATACCAAATGGTTTATTTTGGGTTAATAAATTGGCCATTTTTTTGCCAATGGACTTTTTGCCAATGGATTGAGAAATAAGTTTAGATACATTACGAGTATAATGTTTACTAATTGCTTAATTATTTGGTGTTGACTGGTTTTTTCTTTGCTATTTGAGAGCTTTCTCTTCCTTTAGATTAATACCAAATGGTTTATTTTGGTTAATATCAAAATGAACCACATCTTGAACAAGAAAAACACCCTTTCTATTGCCAATGGACTGAGAAAAAAAGTTTAGATCCACTATGAGCACAAATTGTATGAATTATTTGGTGTTGATTGGGTTTTCATCTGCTATTTGAGTGCTTTCTCTTCTTGTAGATTAATATCAAATGGTTTATTTTGGTTTAATGTTAAAACAACAGATCTAGAACAAGAAAATATACTGAGAAATTACAAGTTTCAGATTCTCTGGCAAGTGTTATCATGCTACACAAGTAAATCTATCTTGTTTTAGATATTTTTCTCATGAATAAAACACTTAAATTTAGGTCTGCTCCTCACGTATGTCTCATATGACTTCAGAAGACTTGAAATATCGTGAATGAATCATTTTTAACCTCTTTTATGACGTTTATTAGTAATTTTGGAGCTTGACTGGAAAGCTTATCAAAATTATGATGTATCTCAGCTTATATGACCTTTGCAGACCTGATGTTTAGGTCTTGAAAAATAATTTTAGAAACAAAAAAGGGCATAAAAATAGTCAACAAAACTTATAAGCTACATTTCAACTCTTCTGAAGCAATCAGGCCTAACTTTTACTTGTTTTTCACTGATAATCTTTACTTTCAGTAACCAGATCAGTGAATGAATCAATCAAGCTGATTCTGTGGCCTGGATCAAATGATTCATTTAAAAGATTCAGCTTCTAATTATAGAATCCTTCTTTTGATCAATAAATCGCTTGATCACTACTTGTCTAATGAACTCTCATGAATGAGCCAAGGTGGATTTTCAGTGAATAAAACACTTACATTTTGGCCTCCTCCTCAAGCAAATCTATAATATAACTTCAGAAGACTTAGGGTGCTTTCACACTTGGTTCGCTTGCCTGGTCCGGACCCGAGTTGGATTGCTCCCCCCTCCCCCTGCCCCCGCTGGACTGCGTTCATATTATTTTATTTGGGTCCGAACCGCGGTCCGTTTGCATCATCAAGCCAGCAGCTGTTTACCCCGTTGCTTAGTAACGATGGAGCAGGAGAAGGCGGCAAATGCATAACATTGCTCTCTGCACTTTTATATATTTACGTTTTTGAACCGTTCGTTTTGTTTACAAAGCTTCGGTACATAACGGCACTTACTTCTGTCTTACGAATGTACTGCAAATGCTCTAAAGAATGCTGAAGACGAACAGAAATGAGATATTCAGCTCTCTGTTTGCAGCGCATCAGTTACGCTCGTCAGGAACGTGAGTGAAACACACACAAACACACATTTTTATCAAATAATACGTCATTAATACAAGCTGACGAGCGTGACTGACGCGCTGCAAACAGAGAGCTGAATATCTCATCTCAGTTCGTCTTCAGCATTCTTTAGAGCATTTGCAGTACATTCGTAAGACAGACGTAAGGGCCGTTATGTACCGAAGCTTTGTAAACAAAACGAACGGTTCAAAAACGTAAATATATAAAAGTGCAGAGAGCAATGTTATGCATTTGCCGCCTTCTCCTGCACCGTCGTTACTAAGCAACGGGGTAAACAGCTGCTGGCTTGATGACGCAAACGAACCGCGGTTCGGACCCAAATAAAATAATATGAACGCAGTCCAGCGGGGGCAGGGGGAGGGGGGAGCAATCCAACTCGGGTTCGGACCAGGCAAGCGAACCAAGTGTGAAAGCACCCTTAGAATAAAGCGAGCGACTCATTTTAACCCCTTTTATGACACTCTAATGGTGTTTATTTGTCATTTTGACCTTGTCCACTTTCATTATAATAAAAATAACATTTTTTAGTCTGAAAAACACTTTCAGAAAGTCTTTATATGATGAATGTTGCGTCTGACCTGTTGAAGAGGTTGTTTCTGGAAACCATCCTCAAGAAGCCAGTCGGGTCGGTCACTGAGTTGAGTTTATTATTGAGTTCTTCAAATTGCTGGTCCAAAAGGTCTCCAGCTTCGCTCTCCGTCTCGCTGCTGGAACAAGCTCTGAAACACCGAACATAATGTGATTTATTCAAGCAACAAGTGTTACAGTGATTTTACCACAGTTGAGGGAAGCTGTTGGGTACAAAACATGGTACAATCACCGCAGAGTAACTCGGCTTAATTGCTTTTTTGATGAAAAAACAAGTTCAATGAATAATTTCATGATGTAAAACTAACAATGAAACAATAAACATCACGTCTGCCAAATAATATAGTCAATTATTCAACAAGACTCTGAAATACTAGTTTCTACTGACTCATTTGTGTCTATTTTTTATTTCTCTGACACAACATTTCAATGAAACATAACTGGTAACTCAATTAAGTTTTCTCAGCTATGAAAGCACAACATCTGAGCAATGAAATGCTCCCACTTATCAATACCGCTGTCAAACACACTCGCTTTTATATCCAGACATGCACGTTTGTTGACTTTTCATTCACAGCGTCCATTGAGATGCAACGCAAAATAACAGAAACAATTTTATAAACGACCAAACAAGTCGAGCACAACGGCAGCCACAATCACAGATAATTACTCACGAGTCTCTCTGCGTCTGGGGAACACGAGAGCAAATTTCTCTGATTAGCTTTAATGAAAAAACAGATCTCTCCAGTAATCTGACTCATCTGAGACGACACACTTGGATTCTTCTATTGGGTTAATAATACGTTTTATCCACCTCACCTCGATTACACACAAAACGCGCTTCGTTTGCACCTAATGCACGACGCAGATGTTCCGCTGATTATTTTGGACACATGATCAGATGGCATTACAACATGTCGATGTGAAGAGATTCGAACGCTCTACAGACGTCTGAATAGCTCGTTAGCATGTGTTTAAGAACTTTGCTCTGAGAATGAAAGGGAACGTCTTCCCTATTTCTCAAAATATAACTTTATATATCTCATATTACTGTATGCACAATGTCATCTGACTTCATATCTAACATTATGATTTTATAAATCTCAAAATATGACATATCTCACAATGAATTCATATATCACATGATGAATTAATATCTCAAAATATGAACATATAGCATAATATTAATACACATCTCACAATGACTCCATATATCTCAAAATATAGCTTTATATATCTCATATTATAAATACATACAAACATCACATGGCATTATATCTCACATTATGACTACATATTGCATAATATTACTATATATCTCACTATATGGCATTATTTCTAAATTACTTTATATATCTCATAATACTATATACATCTCATGACTATATATCTCATACTACTACATACATCTCACAATATATATCTCACACGACTTAACATTTCTCTAAATATGACTATATATCTCATAATATTACTATATATCTCACAATACAACTTCATATTTTACATTAACTTAATATTTCTCAAAATACGTCTGTATCTCGTAATATGACTATATATCTCATAATATGACTAATCTCACATTGACTTAATATTCCTCAAAACAGGATCATGTATATTGAATAATATTACTATATATCTCACAATGTGGCTTTATCTCAAAATGTAACATTAAATATCTCATATTTCTATGAATATATATCATATGACTTCAGATCTCACATTTATTTCATATCTCAAAATATGACTTTAAATCTCACAATATGACTTAATGTTTCAATATATGACTTAATATATCTCATAATTTTATTATATATCTCAAAATGACTTACATCAAACTATAACGTTATATATATCATATTACTATGAATATATATCATATGACTTAATATCTCAAATTTATTTCATATCTCAAAATACGACTATATATTTCACAATATGACATAATATCTCAAAATATGACTTAATATATCTCATAATGTTACTTTATATCTCACAATATGACTTATCTTAATACATATTGAATTCTCTACAGATGTCTGAATAGCTCGTTAGCGTGTGTTTGTTTAAGCACTTTGCTCTGAGAATGAAAGGGAACGTCTGCTAACCTCTTCCCTAGATTTCTGAACTATTCCAAGATGTCAGAGCACCAGCATTCTACTCATTTTGCATCCTTTATCTCCGCAAACATGCTCTGGCGTCCGTTGCACTCCCTCTTGTGACGGAAGCCATCCCAAATCCTGTTGAAATGTTAATTGAATTCTTTGTCACGGTACAACACTGTAGGATGGGAATAATCTCATTTTGGTGCCAACCAGAAATGAAAAGCACCAGAGGAGCCGGAGAATGAGATCTGCTCTTCATATATTTGTGCTTAAAGTGACAGACTTTGAACCAGTTGTGGGGCGAGCGCTTGCATCTGCGACGGATCTGTTTGGGAAGCGTGCTTTGGAAATGAAGATGGCTCAGATGTGGAGACAGTGCCGTGGGCTGCGTGTGGCAGGCAGAGATATGTGAGGATGCTCTGAAAGGAAAACCTTCCTATAGTGAGCGGCTCTCTAACCTGATCAGGTAGGTTAACTAAGGTTGTTCACACTGGGTCTGAGTTTGATTACGCCTCCGGAGTAACACCGTGAGCGCAGGCGGAAGCTGTTTACCAGCCGACTAAAATTGAACACGCTGTCTGCGGCGGATGCGTTTGAAAGCCATTACTGCTGAGACAAGCAGCAATAAGAATGCATTAGTCTATAATATGCAAATTATAAATCATCACAGCAGTTTATTTCTGCAAATTAGGCCGAATTGGTTTATGAACCATAACTCAGACCACAGCTTTAATGACAAGTAAACCACTTATGATATAGACATGAATGATTCCTCAAATCATGTGTCTTGTTGGAGAGGATGATAGGGCTTACGTTTTTCACCTGCTGGATAATAAAACCAGCAATATATCTCATAATGTTACTATATACCTTACATTATGACTTCATGTATCTCATAATGTTATGATATACCTTACATTATGACTTCATATATCTCGAAATATGACTTTATATATCTTGAAATGTGATTTTCATCTGCTTCAAAGTTCCTTTCTTAAATTAATATATGTGACCCTGGACCACAAAACCAGTTATATTCAAAAAAAAAATTTGAAATTGAGATTTATACATCATCTGAAAGCTGAATAAATAAGCTTTCCATTGATGTATGGTTTGTTAGGATAGGACAATATTTGGCCGAAATACAACTATTTGAAAATCTGGAATCTGAGGGTGCAAAAAAAATCTAAATACTGAGAAAATCACCTTTAAAGTTGTCCAAATGAAGTTCTTAGCAATGCATATTACTAATCAAAAATTAAGTTTTGATATATTTACTAATATTTCACAGTATTAATGTTACTGTATATTTGAATAAATGCTGCCTTCTTGAGCACAAGAGACTTCTTTCAAACACATTAGAAATCTTTCTCACCCTAAACTAAATAATAATAATAAACTGCAATATGCGTTACTTTTAGTGATTTCATTATATATTATCATATGCCTATATATAAATTAGTATGCATTAATTGAATCAACCAATATATTCTGCTTGGCTGTGATTCTATTCTATTATAAAGCATTTTTACCTTGAAACAAACACATGCAAATACTCGTTATTGGAAACATGTTCCATCATCCTTGGTGAACACAGTATTAGTAATCTCTAACTTAGTGTGTGTAGTCACTGAGCTCTTTCTTTTGACTAGTGGGAGCCTCACAATCACAAATCCGCTGTGGAAAGCTGCATGGTGATCTCATAGAAGCCCAGAGAGAACTCTTGGGTTTGGGAGGAATAAATTGTGCCATTGAGCTCTCCCTCACGCTCATCTCTTTCCCTTTCGCACTTCTGATGTCCTGTTGCGCAGTACCCACAAGCTTTCTGATTATCCTCTGTATGGTTGGTTCGTGAGAAGCCTCAAGTTTGCTGCAGCGCTCACTTGACAAAAGAGGAAGCAGGTGTTGCAGTAGATGGAGGTCTCCACTCGTGTCGACCTCTCCAAGCGCAGTTGCTCCTCTGGCATTAGTCTGCATTTGTTTGTCTATTACTCTGTTAGTGCCACATGAGATCCTTTTAGGAGGAACAGCTTTTTATGTGACTCACAGCAAGTAAACACAGCTTGCTTATGAATTTGCTACAGGTGGTTAGTTTAAATTGTTTCTCAAAAAGGGGTAAAGGCAGAAATATTCAACACCATTCAGATGTTTGGGGTTGGCAAGACTTTTTATAATGTTTTTGAAAGAAGTATCTAATGCTCACCAAGGCTGCATGTATTTGATCCAAAATATAATAAAACAGTAATCCGGTGAAATATTACCGTTTAAGTGAACCGTTTTCTATTTTAACATATGCGACCCTGGACCACAAAACTTGAAACTGAGATTTATACATCATCTGAAATCTAATAAATATGCTTTCCATTGATGTATGGTTTGTTAGGATAGGACAATATTTGGCCGAGATACAAAATCAGGAATCTTGAGAGTGCAAAAAAATCTAAATATTGAGAAAATTGCCTTTTGTCCAAATGAAGTTCTTAGCAATGCATATTACTAATCAAAAATTAAGTTTTGATATATTTACTGTAGGAAATGTACAAAATATATTCATGGAACATGATCTTTACTTGATATCCTAATGATTTTTGGTATAAAAAAAAATCGATAATTTTGACTCATACAATGTATTTTTGGCTATTGCTACAAATATACCCCAGCGACTTAAAACTGCTTTTGTGCTCCAGGGTCACATATCTCATTACTATACAGTATATCACATAATATCACATAATATCTCACAACATGACTTCATGTATCACATTATGAATTATTTCTTAAAATATGACTTTATATATCTCATAATATTACTATATATCTTACAGTGATTCAAATATCTGATAATATAACTATATATCTCATAATATGATTTCATATCTCAAAATATTACTTGATATCTCAGATTATGACTATACATCAAAATGTGACTATATATCTCATAATATGACTATATATCACAAATCTCACATGACTCTCATGACTTCATATCTCACATTTTGATTTCATATCTCAGAATATGACTATATTTTGCATAATATTACTATATATCTCTCACAATATGGCTTTATCTCAACATGTCTATATATCTCATAATATATACATTTTGCAACTGACTTCACATCTCACATTATGACTTAATATTTCTGTACATATTACTATATATCTCACATTGTTACTATATATCTCACAATATGACTTTTGAATAAGTATGACAATACTTTACATTGACTTATATATATATATCATAATATTATCTCACAATATGACTTCATATACTGTATCTTGAAATATGACTTTATACAGCTCATAATATTACTATACATCTCACAATGTGAATTCATCTTAAATTGACTATATCTCATAATTTTACTATATATCTAAGTATATCTTTACACATCTTGAATTATGATATATATATATATCATAATATTATCTCACAATATGACTTCATATACTGTATCTTGAAATATGACTTTATACAGCTCATAATATTACTATACATCTCACAATGTGACTTCATCTTAAATTGACTATATCTCATAATTTTACTATATATCTACGTATATCTTTACACATCTTGAATTATGACTTTACAAACTGTATCTCAAAACATGACATTACATTTTCTTATATCACACTGTGACTTAATAGCTCATATTTTGACTCTATATATCTTCCAACATGACATACTTTGTTGTATTAAACCTTATCTCATAATTCAATTTCTACTCAGAGGTTTAAACAGGCTAACATATCCAATCCATATCTAGAGACCAGAATATCATACTTGGGCTCATTTGCACCTGGCAACCACTCTTCACGGAGGTCAGCTTTCACATGAACAATCTTGCTGAAACTGCATTAATCACAGAGTTATGCTGATGAATCTTACGAGCGGCACTCCAGTCAACACACACACGCGGAAGGGTGCAAGAGGTCTCGCTAAACAAGCCATAATCGCTCATATTGCAGCCGGTCGCGGGTATCACAATTCCTGTTCGTGCCTCTTTCTTTCTGCACAATGAATGGGGTCTTCAAAGGTGGCATATTGCACCCAACCAAGTGGAAAAGATTGCTCGCAGCCCCTCAGTCAAGCGCTAAATTATCCTTTAATGGGCAGGGATGAGCGCAGAGCTCTCTGGGAGAAGCCATCACACCTCTAGTGACTAATGCGCTGGCACTGGCATGAGAGACTCGCGGCTTTCCACGCGCGTACAATAATGGCCTTTGTTTCAGGCTACTGCTTAATTCACACCAAGAGCTTCTGACATTCTGCCATCCATCTCTCTGCATTCTGCTCCTCCAAACCTGCCAGCGTCTTCACCTAATTACATGTCAGAGTGAACTCAACACTGCAGCACTGAAACCTCCATGCGAGAGGTGAATAACTCCTCAGCTGCCACCCGGTTAGCCCCACAGAGCCAGAGATCAGTGCGGTGTGGCCTCCAGCCCTGCTGCGGCGTATGACAGCATCGGTGAGCGCTGAGATGTGCTTCCTGCGGGGCATGTATGCGCACCCATGCACACTCCACCCCGCTGCGCTCAATGCTGCTAACCAACATGACCGCATCCATCAGGGTATATTTAGGAGGTTGCAGACATTCACACTAACATGAGCACAGCTGCATTTTGCAGCACTTTTACTGTAATATTTTATTGAGAAAAGCATATTCTTATATCGTGCCTTTCAACATAGACATCCATATTTTATAAAACCATAAAACAAACTAAAATAGAGAGATTTAACAAGACCCTACTTAGTTAATTTTATTTTATTTTACAAATCCTTGAAGATCAAAAGGAGATTTAAAATGTTGTTAAATGTTTTGCAAACGTATATTTGCAAAGTTTAAACATTACAAAAATTATCTTAACAAATCATATCATAATATCTAACAATGAATACAATACTATTTTTAATATTTTTTCATAATGAGCAACCACCTAGCAACACCATAGCAACCACCTAGCAATGCTCTAACATCCCGAACACCCTAGAAACCACTTAGCAACAACCTGACAAACAGTAAGAACACCATAGCAACCACCTAGCAATGCTCTAACATCCAGTACACCCTTGAAATCACCTAGCAACAGTCTAGCAAACACTAGGAACACCATAGCAACCACCTAGCAATGCTCTAACATCCAGTACACCCTTGAAATCACCTAGCAACAGTCTAGCAAACACTAGGAACACCATAGCAACCACCTAGCAATGCTCTAACATCCAGTACACCCTTGAAATCACCTAGCATCAGTCTAACAAACATTAGGAACACCATAGCAACCACCTAGCAACGTTCTAACATCCAGTACACCCTTGAAATCACCTAGCAACAGTCTAACAAACACTAAGAACACCATAGCAACCACCTAGCAACGTTCTAACATCCAGTACACACTTGAAATCACCTAGCAACACCCTAACAAACACTAAGAACACCATAGCAACCACCTAGCAATGCTCTAATATCCAGTGCACCCTTGAAATCACCTAACAACAGCCTAAAAAACAATAGGAACACCATAGCAACCACCTAGCAACGTTCTAACATCCAGTACACTCTTGAAATCACCTAGCAACAGCCTAAAAACACTAGGAACACCATAGCAACCACCTAGCAACGTTCTAACATCCAGTACACTCTTGAAATCACCTAGCAACACCCTAGCAAACAGTAAGAACACCATAACAACCACTTAGCAACACTCTAACATCATTACATCATTCAAGAACACCTTAGCAACAACCTAGCAATGTACTAACAAACATCCAGTACACCCCAGCAACGTGTGATTCAGGCATTCACCTGCTGTAGTATGAGTCCACTCCCAGAGCTTCCCGCGCGTTAGCAATGTGCTGCTCCAGAGACGAGCCTCCACAGCCGCCCCCCGCGGGCACAGAGCCTCCGCTGCCCTCCTGGAAGTCTGACGTGCCGCCATCCGACGCTCCCTCACCCAGATACACCTCATGAAACTTCAGGATACCTGTCAGACAGAGAGCAAAGCTCATGTTGATTTGGACAGAGACGATATCTGAAATTAAATACACTTTGATTATGTTGATTAGTATTATTATTGTTAAATGTAATTGCTGCTGGTGATGTTTTATAAAAGCAGTAAGCCATGAGCGGTTACAAATTACAGTGATTTCACCATGGTAAAGGAGTCTAATCTTAAAATGATCAAACTTAAAGGTCAGATGTAAGACAATCATCAAGAAGAGTTCAGACCGAACCGAACGCTCTCAAACTCCTGAGAGCATCAGTGCTTCAGACATAAAGTGCGTGCTTTGCGTAATAATGAAGATAGAATACCATATAGAGCCACACAAGAGTCAGGATCAAGGTCAGCAGTCTCCTGCGAGAGGCTGAAATCTAGTTAGGTGAATATTGTAAATGAGCAAAAGCACTCCCCGCTTTCAGACATATGTCTGTTTGATTACGCGAGCTTGTCTTTCTGTTACAGACGTCAAGGTTTGAATAATTAAATGAGCTTCAAGTCCAGAAAGATGCAGACGTGTTTAGTCGTGTGTGAGTGTCCAGTGTATACTAAAACTAAGACGAAAATTATTATTTCAAAGTATTCTCAAAACTTACGAGAATCAGATATGTTTATGAAAAAAATCTGAAACTTAAATAATGTTGCATAAAACATATATATATATACACACACACACACTTTTTGCTATATTGTTATATATTTAAAATGATAAAAAAAATCTATAAAATGTAAATGTAATATACACTTTTATGAGGAAAAAATACAAATACAAATCAATATATATATATATATATAATATAAAATGTAATATAATCAAATAGATATGTCCATAAATGTTATATACATAAACTTTAAAGAAAAGATACATCACAAATACATAAAAACATATATTTCATTTATTTGATTATTTTATGTATATTCTGTTTTTATTTTATATACATATATATATTTAAACTGTAAACCTCTAATACCCTTTGTGTGTGTTTCACGTGTCTGTGTGTGTGTGTGTGTGTGTGTGTGTGCGTGTGGTTGTGAGGGTGGGATTATGGAGGCAGGTGGTACATATAAAATGTAATATAATCAAATAGATATGTCCATAAATGTTATATACATAAACTTTAAAGAAAAGATACATCACAAATACATAAAAACATATATTTCATTTATTTGATTATTTTATGTATATTCTGTTTTTATTTTATATACATATATATATTTAAACTGTAAACCTCTAATACCCTTTGTGTGTGTTTCACGTGTCTGTGTGTGTGTGTGTGTGTGTGTGTGTGCGTGTGGTTGTGAGGCTGGGATTATGGAGGCAGGTGGTACTGCCGCTTTGCGTTAATTCACAGCTTTTTACCAGCTTCACCAAACAGCAGGCGGCACAATGAAGCCACGGGGAACAGAAAGTGTGAGGAATACGACAGCGACAAACACACCGATCAACTGAGCATGTGCATGTGTGTGTGTCACTGCACGCTATTTTCCTGAAACTGAAAATTTGAGCAAATAATTGTTTCTTTGTTGTAGGATTTCGTTCTGTTTCCAACTTGCACATTTTGTTTGAAAAATGACAAGAGTCAGAAAAATAAGATGAACTAAGCTAAGCTAAAATACAATAAAAAATAAAAAATTAACTGAAAATAATATTCTGTATAAATAGATAGTTTAAAAAATATTAAATATATACATATGCAGAGCTCTTTAATTTTGTTGTCCTGGGTTTCTAACTTGTCCTTGCTATATTAACAAATATGCACATTTTATTTGGAAAAATATGAACGTGAAGTCTGTGACCTTAAAAAAAAATCATACTCATCTAGTTTAGCTTAAGATGGTGTAATGCAATTTTTAACACTTCAAGATGCATTTTGTCAAATGAAATGCTTAAAATCTAACAGAAATGTGCTTTTAGAATATGAGAACGGCATCAGTTTCACAGAATAGTGTGTGTGACGGCCTCAGCCTTATTGATCTGCTAGTGTAAATGTGAGCGGCAGGGCTGTGTGTTGTGTTGGTCTGTGTTCAAACAGACAGACAGCGTCTCAGCGTGTCTCCGGATCGGGCTCTGATGAACTGTTCAGATGTGTGCTGTGTCTGTCTGACACCTCCGTCACCCCACACCCACATCACCGCCTCTACACACACTAACCACACACTACTGCACTCTTAGTCTTTAACCTGTGTAAGGATCCTACGATTTCCACGGAAAACACAGACAGAATCATGGAATTCAGTTATAGAATGGAATTTACTCTAGAATGCGGAATACCACAGAATTTGGCAAATTTTGGATAAATAAATCAAAAGTAGGCCTGTTCACTTGATCAACTCACAATATGTAAAAAAAAAACAAAACTGAAAAATTAAAACAGACAACAGAGTTTCTGAAAAATATAAATAAATAAATAAAACATTTCATAGGGCCCTATTATTGTAAAAAAAGTAATTAATAAATTAAATAAAGTAATAAATTATTACATTGTTAAAGTTTTATGAATTGAACTGATTAGACGTGTTTTGATTATTAAAATTTATTAAAGCATTATAACAGAATCCAGATAAATTAAAATGGAAAAAATTAAATTTGGGGGGGAAAAAATAACTTCATAAGGCCCTAAAAATGAAATTTTTGTCAAATTTTTAATAAATTGTTGTTAAATTGTATACGTTTCATGATTTCCATTAATTAAACATGCTTTTTGATTAACAACATTTAATTGCAAAATAGAAAAAAAATTTAAAAAATGGAATCCAGGAAAATTAAAACGGACAAAAACTACATTTTTTGGGGAAAAAAGAATTCATAGGGTGCTAAAAATGTTAATTTTTGTTAAACTTTTAATAAATTGTTGTACACTCCAAAGAGAAAGGAAAACTTGAAATCGCATCATATGACCCCTTTAAGACATGCTTTGCATTTGTCTACTAAAATTTATCTGTAAAAAAGACAAAAATTAAAAGTGAAGTTTTATCATTTAATTAATTAAACATGCTTTATGATTACTAAAATGTAATTGAAAAAAAAAAAAAAGAGAGAGAATCCAGAAAATTTTAAACAGAAAAAAAAATTAATTTGGAAAAAAATAAAAGATTTCATAAGGCCCTAAAAATATAATTTTTGTTACATTTTTAATAAATTGTTGTTACATTTTTAAATGTTCTTTATTTCCATTAATCAGACATGTTTTTAGATTACTGCAATTTAACAAAAAATGAAATACAACAACAACAAAACAGAATCCAAAAATTAAAAAATTAAAAAGGAAAAAAATTAATCTGGGAGGAAGAAATTAGAGCTCATAGGGCCCTTCATCCTCATGTATGATACGTCTTTAAGACTGTATAAAGTTATGCAGAACGTTACATGGTATTTCAGCTTGTGCAAGGGCATGTTGGGAGTTCATTAATCAACGCTTGTGAGTTTTGAACCGGAGGGTCTTACCGGAGCCGGGGGCCAGGAGCCAGCTGTACAGGTATCCTGCCGCCAGAGAGAAGTAGAGCACCAGGGCCCGCTGCCCGTTCACAGTGTCCAGGATGTGCTCCACGGTCACGGGCGTGTAGGGGTCAGAGTCCTGCTGGCCCGTCTGTCTCTCCACCAGCAGGTCGGCAAAGGCCCGAGTGCGTCCACGCTCCGCCACGGCCAGAGCTTCATCATGGTGACCTGAGCAGAGGTCAGAGGTCAGCGCTGGTCTTCATAAACCCATGAATACATCCAAGTATGTCTAACTTCATTTCCAGAGATCTTTGACCGTTTCATGCATCTGCAATGAACTGCAGGCCACAGGAAGCAGCGATTTCATGTTTTCTACCACAGGTCATCATAATGGCATAATGGTGATCACATAAAACCATCATCAGAAAACTAGCATAGTATACTAGCTACTTTTATTGTGTTTTTATGATGCTTTTTGGATTTTGACAGCCATATATATACAAGGAGCATCTCAGATTAATACATTATATTCAAAAGTTTAGTCTTTTTCAGTAAGAAACTAATACTTTTTTTCAGCAAGGACACATTAAAATAATCAAACGTTACAATGAAGACATATAATAATGTTATAAAGGATTTATATTTCAAAGAAATGCTGTTCTTTTGAATTTTTCTATTTCTATTTTTCTATCAGTTTCCAGAGAAATATGAAGCAGCACAACTGTTTTCAATGTTAGAATGATTTCTGAAGGATCATGGGACACTGAAGACTGGAGTAATGAAGCTGAAAATTCAGCTTTGCATCACAGGAATAAATTACATTTTAAAATGCATTCAAATACAAAACAGCTCATTTAAATTATAAAAATGTTTCACAATATTTCTGTATTTTTGATCAAATAAATACAGCCTTGGTGAGCATAAGAGACTGCTTTCAAAAACATAAAAAAATCTCACCGACCACAAACTTTCAATGCATGTCATGTCCATTTATTGATTTATTGGCAAGTATACTGCAAAAACTCCTATTTTAATGAGAAAAATCCTAAAAATCCTTGAAAAACATCAACTTGCTTCAGAAGCAATGTTGCACAATATATTTTTTACCTTTCTACAAGTTAAAAACAAGTGAAAAAATCAGCCAGTGCAGTAAAAACAAAATACACTAATAAATAAATATACCTAGTTTCAAGGATTTTTAGATTTTAACTAGTAAACAAGTCCAAAAAGACTAATTAAAAACTCATTAAGAAGTCACATTTTGCAGTCTAGCCACATAACAAGCAGTTTAACGTCCAGTCAGCTGGTCATTTTACATTAAGGACTGTACATGAATCCTTACACATAACACAGATAAGCCGTTTTATGCTCTGAATGGATAATGTATGATATAAGCAGGATGAAATAGAAGGAGAATATTTATACCGAGGCTGACAAGGACCCTCTGGAGAGCCTGGTACGAGGAGGTCTGCAGGTCGAACAGGGAGAGCTTGTAGTCGGTGCTGTGCTGCGCTTCATGACGAATGGTCTCGAACAGAGCCGACGCACGGTACAGCTGTGAGGCAAAAAAAAAACAAGATTTTGTGCGTTACTCACACATGTGTTAATAATAAAGCACTGACCTGCCCTGCCACAGAAACACTTATCACGCTACAGAGAAACATGAGTGTGGATGCAGTGCTCAGATGCCAACAGCAGAGGGCAGCAGACTTCCACACCTAAAACACATCCGTGTCTTTCTAAGCTTATTTTCTTGTTGCCTTTAATCGAATCATAGCAAGTCGAGATGAAATGCTTATTTGTCACACGAGCCTTTGAGCAACATAAAACCAATCTAAGCACGTGAACGTCTTAGACGCAACGCCACAGTCGTGTTTGCAGTGAAAATAAATGAAGTCTGAATCACAGACTGCAAGTCGCACCGTTTATGCCGGCCGGCCGGTCTGGTTCTTGTTTAGCAATCGAAAGTGTGAGTTTGTGTGTGGTGTGAGTGATGTGGGATTTCTGGCTAATGATATCCTCTCGTTCACAGCGGTGGAGGGAAAGACAGCGTCAGCGTACGTCTGTCTGTGACGCTGCCACCGCATGTCTGATAGACTCGCTGAGACTGCCAGAGAGAAAACCAGCGTGTAGCATTGACGTCCGTCTTGAGAACAACCGAAAGTAGCGATGCTACTAACTTAACTAAGTTTTTCAGTAGTTTAACAGAAATGCTTTCAATGCTTTTCTAGTAGCAAATAGTCATGAGCTACAAAATGCTGTATTTTTCATCACTTTGTGTTGCACATGCAATAATCAAATGAACTCTTTTCTCTTAAGTAGTTTTGGGATGTTTGATTCATTTCACTCTGTTGATTCACTAGCATGGTTCATGTACATTAAATACCGATTCACATATGATTTACAGATCAAATATATAATTCAATGATTACACAATTCACTGACAAAATAAATGATTCACTTTTCAAATAAACAATTCACAGATCAAATATATGATTCACTGATGAAATAAATTATTCACTTTTCAAAATTCACAGATCAAATACATGACTCAAATGATTAAATAAACGATTCAGCGATCAAATAAATGATTCACTCATTAAATAAACGGCTCACTTATCAAAATTCACATTTCAAATATAGAACTTACAGATCAAATATGTGACCCTGGAGCACAAAAGCAGTCTTAAGTCGCTGGGGTATATTTGTAGCAATAGCCAAAAATACATTGTATGGGTCAAAATTATTGATTTTTCTTTTATGCCAAAAATCATTAGGATATTAAGTAAAGATCATGTTCCACGTGTAAATTTCCTACTGTAAATATATTAAAACTTAATTTTTGATTAGTTATATGCATTGCTAAGAACTTCATTTGGACAACTTTAAAGGCGATTTTCTCAATATTTAGATTTTTTTTTGCACCCTCAGATTCCAGATTTTCAAATAGTTGTATTTCGGCCAAATATTGTCCTATCCTAACAAACCATACATCAATGGAAAGCTTATTTATTCAGCTTTCAGATGATGTATAAATCTCAATTTCGAAAAATTGACCCTTATGACTGGTTTTGTTGTCCAGGGTCACATATATGATTCAATGATTAAATAAATGATTTACTGGACAAAGCCATTTCAACTTTGTTTTCCCATAAAAAATATGTAAATATTCCTAAAGCAACATAAACAAGCTTTAACGTTACAAGCAAACGTACAAGCTTAAAATTGCATAAAAGTAATGACTTGTTTTAATAAAATATTTCTACATATTATTTGTTTTCTTTTCTTACCCCACTGGCAAATATTTGTTTCTTGATTTATGCACAAATCTATCTAAATTTAGTGAGGTTCAATTTAATTACACTTAAAACAAGGAAAACACATTTAGAAATATTCATATTAATATCTTATGCAATCTGCTCCAAGCAAACGTGTCTTGTTTAAAGAATATTTCGATATTTTTACTGCTAAACTAGTCAAAAATATGGTTTAATGTGTTTTAAATGGGCAGCTGCTGTAGTTGTCAAGCCGTCCTGCTTCAAATGAGGAGTCGCTTGTAGTTTAGCGCCCCCAGTGTTGCCTGATATTGCATGTCTGAGTATTTATGTGTTTTCGAGATATATGTGTGTGTGTGTGTGTGTGTTTGTGTGTTTGTGGTGTGGAATGCAGTGTTTCTCAGGGGTTCGGCTGCAGAGAGCCCTTCATCAGCATACAGCACGGCCAGCCTGCAATCAATTAAGAGCGGAATGCATCAGCACACACACACACACACACACACAAAACACACACACTCCATCTGCAATCTGCAGCGCTCCAGAACCATCTATACATCACACACACCAAACTGAGTCACCAGGGAGGAAGGCCATGAAAAGCTACTATTACTACACTCACAAAACACACACACACACCGTACTATCAGCTGACTCTGGTTTCTTTTCATTTTCTCCACTCTATGGCCTGAAACACACATACAAATGCCCGACCGACACATTTACAAGAGTGTGTACATATTTAAAGCTAAAGTGTGTCATATGAAGATTAAAGGAATAGTTCAACCAAAAATGAACATTTGCTGACAATGTACTCACCCTCACGTCATAGAAGATGCAGATGAGTTTGTTTCTTCATCAGAACAGATTTGGAGAAATGTAGCATTCCATCACTTGCTCACCAATGGATGCTCTGCAGTGAATGGGTGCCGTCAGAATGAGAGTCTAAACAGCTGATAAAAACATCACAATAATCCACAAGTAATCCACACCACTCCAGTCCATCAGTTAATGTCTTGTGAAGCCAAAAGCTGCGTGTTTGTAAGAAACAAATCCATTATTAAGACGTTTTTAAATTAAACCGTTGCTTCCAGCTAGACATCTATCTATAATATTGCTTTCCACAGTGAAAAGGTTGTCTCTTCTGAATCAGGAGAGAAATATGCACAAGCACCGTTTACAAGCCAAAACAGTCTAAAACAGCTCTAAACAAATATGTAGACGTGAGAGGACATCAGTAGATGGACTTTTTCACTGGAGGATGCGTTATTATGGATTATGGACTCGTATTTTAATCGGAAGCAATGGTTTGAAGTTAAAAACGTCTTGATGGATGTTTCTTACAAACACACAGCTTTTCACAAGACATTAACTGGTGGACTGGAGTGGTGTGGATTACTTGTGGATTATTGTGATGTTTTTATCAGCTGTTTGGACTCTCATTCTGACGGCACCCATTCACTGCACAGCATCCATTGGTGAGCAAGTGATGGAATGCTACATTTCTCCAAATCTGTTCCCATGAAGAAACAAGCCTATATATATCTTGGATGGCCTGAGGGTTAATTAACAATGGCCAAAACAACAGAAACACTGACCTGAGCCATATCTAGAGATCTACAACACACACAAAAAAACACCACCTAGCAACCATTTAAAACACTGTGGCGGTGAGATCTGCATTGGCAAACAACACTCTTATTTTCACTTCTTCTTTGTCCCCCAGAAAATGCAGTTACTGAGAAGAGAATGTATCTAAACGTTTTTTTTGGTGGTGCAAGGGAAAAATGTCGCAAAAGTGATGTTTCCTTGTGAGATTGTGTTGTGTAGTGCACAAACATCTGGACATCTTAACAAAAGCGGCACCCATCTGAACGTCTCTGATATGATCATGTAGTACGTGGCGTGTCTGTTTGATTGACAGCTGCCGCCAGAGGCGCGTCAGACTCAAGTCTGTCGGTTTCTCACTCTTTCAGACTGAACTAAAGCACGTCCCTCCCCAATGGCACAGCTGCCTAATTGACAAGACTGGCTGTACGATGATCTAAACACATTATCCTCTAATCTTCCGTCTCCCTGTAGACGTACGGCACATATGTGATCAACATCCTATGCACCAGAGACCCGCATGTCGCCGTACCCGAGACGTGAGACTCGCTCGGCAATTTCTAGAGGGAGAAGAACAATCTAGAGCCTTCCTCCTCAGACGGCCATGATGAAATGTGATCCGAGCAGACGATTACAGAGACGACTACAATCACTGTCACCGTCTGAGACAATGACGACCTCCAGAAATCATCAAAGAAATCTAATAAAATCTGAGCTCAAAAAATAATCTCAGAGGTTCAGTACACCTCAGGCTGGTTTTATGTTATTGATTGAAAAGTTTATGTCCACAAAGCAATCCTACAATATTTCAGGAAAACAAACAGTGATGTCTAATTCAGATCAGAAATTCACTTTTGATTACTGCTCAATATTTGCAAACAGAAATTATTTTCCTGCTGGCCCTTTTTTTTTTTTTTTACCTTTATGAGAACGTTTATTGCTTTCTAATATATTTTCCATCAATTAGTTTCACATGTAGCAACACTCACCCATGAGACATTAAATACAGATTTATGGACTTTTAAAGAGTTAAATCTTTGCAATAATCTACCACTGTCCTTTTAATTTAGTACTAGATAATTACAGTTTTAAAACCGACTAGAACAAATAAACATCCAACACTGATCGTTATATACTACCATTCAAAAGATTTTTTAATGCTTTTAAAAGAAGTCTTTTATGCTCACCTAATTCAGATCAGAAATTCACTTTTGATTACTGCTCAATATTTGCAAACAGAAATTATTTTCCTGCTGGCCCTTTTTTTTTTTTTTTACCTTTATGAGAACGTTTATTGCTTTCTAATATATTTTCCATCAATTAGTTTCACATGTAGCAACACTCACCCATGAGACATTAAATACAGATTTATGGACTTTTAAAGAGTTAAATCTTTGCAATAATCTACCACTGTCCTTTTAATTTAGTACTAGATAATTACAGTTTTAAAACCGACTAGAACAAATAAACATCCAACACTGATCGATATATACTACCATTCAAAAGATTTTTTAATGCTTTTAAAAGAAGTATTTTATGCTCACCAAGGCTGCATTTATTTGATCAAAAATACTGTAAATACAGTAATATTGTGAAATATTACTAAAATTTAAAATAGCTGTTTTCTATGTGAATATATTGTAAAACATATTTTATTTCTGTGATGCACAGCTGAATTTTCAGCATCATTACTCCAGTCTTCAGTGTCACATGATCCTTCAGAAATCATTCTAATATTCTGATTTGCTGCTCAAGAAACATTTCTGATTATCAAACAGTTGTTCTGCTTCATATTTTTGTGGAAACCGTGATACATTTTATTTGTAAGCATACTTTGATGCATAGAAAGTTCAAATGAACGGCATTTATTTGAAATAGAAATCTTTTGAAACATTATAAATGCATTTAATGTCACTTTTGATCAATTTAATGCATCCTTGCTGAATATAAGTATTATCATAATAATTTTTTTAAAAAGTCTTACTGACCCCAGTGGTTTTAAACAATAGTGTACATAAAAACCAGCCGATATATATCATGCATCCCTAGAATATTATTAAATGCTAGATGACTATTTTTAATATACAATATTCCAAGAATATTAAACTCTCTAGGGTATTTCTGACGGTTTCATGTTAATTTCTGTTTCTCTGACGATTCAGTTGAACCATTTAGCAATGATTCATGAATCACTCGACCGTAAAAACGCAGTTTAAGTGGAGTGTAAACATTGTGGTGCTGTCAAAACAAAGCTCAGTTTGTTGAAGCGCTTCAACATGTCCATTTCTAACTCAATCAATCGTGCTTTTAAGGCGAGACTGTTTGAGAAACAATCATTATCTTTTCAGTTCATTTTGGTGCTGCTGGCTTCACAGAAGTCACACACTGCAGCTTTGACTGACCCTTTGAATCGGTTCATTGATAATTGATACTAGATACTCATATTAGAGTTTTTATTCATATTTAGAAGTTTTTATTTTTTATATCTTCTCTATCTGTTATAGTTTTATTTCATTTTGTTGTGTGTTTGTCATTTTTATTCGTTTTTTAATATGCCTGTATCATTTTTTCAACATTTTTATTCAAGTTTTCTTTATTTTAGTACATCAATTTAAACTAAATTAAAATGAGAAAGATTCATCTGGTAACTAGTTGAAAAAATAGCATTATTAAAACTGAAAGTAATATTATTAATACTAATTAAATTAAAATAATTCATTAATACTATTGTAAATATTATAATAAAATAATAATACAAAATATAATTCTAATATAAAAAATATCAGTCATTTTAGTTACATTTAAATTTAATGTTCAATTTAAATTAAAATGAGAAATATTCATTTGTTAACTAGTTGAAATAAAATAGTATTAATAAAATAATAAAACTGAAATTAATATTATTAATACTACTTAAATTAATAAACGTAATTTTATTAATACTATTTTAAATATTATAATAAAACTATTAATAAATATATCAGTTATTACAGTAAATCAATTTAAACTAAATTAAAATTAAACATTAATTTGGTAACTACTTGAAATAAATTTAGTACAATTGAATTTAATATTATTAATACTACTTACATTTATAAAATTAATTTTATTAATAATATTTTAAACATTACAATAAAACAGTAAAAATATAATATAATAAAAAATATATATTTTTAAAGTTTATTTCATTAAAATTTTTGCTTTTAGTTGTAGATTTAGTTAACTATAATATCCCTTGTCAAAGCTACATCCAAATCCTCAGCGGTGCGGTGCGGAGCAGCGATTCCTCAAACAAGCCCCGAGCTGGAGTGTTTGCTGATGACGAGGGTCTCGTTTGGGCTGACAGGCCTGAATCAATTAGGGCCTAAATGCAGAGAGTGTGTGTTTGTGCAGCTTGACTCCCTGAACATCAGATTCGGCTTCTTTGTTTGTCTCACAGAATGATGAAGTCACAAGTGAAGAGTCCGACGGAGATGACAAGTCTGCAAACATCCGAAACACACACACGCGCGCGTCCGCCTACAGGCACATCATTAGAAGAAGCAGAGACAGTGGAGCTCTGTCAAGAAGAGCGTTCATGAGTATCCTGTGCATCTGTGCGGAGACTGCAGGAAATTGGCTGTGTGTGTGTGTGTGTGTGTGAGCGGACAGTACCTGGTGCTGGGATTCCTCCAGATTGCCGCTGGCCCACAGCGAGAGCCCCAGACGGTGTCGGATCTTGGCCTCGTCCTCCCGACGGCCCAGCTGCTCCGCTAGACGCAGACCTGAGACACAAAACACACACAAACACAGATTTACAGGTAAATGCTTTTTCCAGGAAGAGTTTTCAATGAATACTTCACATGAAAATGAGTTTATTCATTCACTGCACTTGTTTTAATACATCAAAATCTGAGTTTTATGGCTTTTAGTCTATGTTTGTTCACTTTGAGGCAATGTAGGCCTCAATTATAGTTGACAAAATTAACTTCTTAGATATTTGCATATAAACTGTAACATCCTTTCAGACCAAAATACTAAATCATTATGCACTGTAATTTGTCAAATGTGACCCTGGAGCACAAAAGCAGTCTTAAGTCACTGGGGTATATTTGTAGCAATAGCCAAAAAACATTGTATTTTTTGATAACAAAATTATCGATTTTTCTTTTATGCCAAAAATCATTAGGATATTAAGTAAAGATCAAGTTCCATGAAGATATTTTGTACATTTCTTACTGTAAATATATCAAAACTTAATTTTTGATTAGTAATATGCATTGCTAAGAACTTCATTTGGACAAATTTAAAGACTATTTTCTCAATATTTAGATTTTTTTGCACCCTCAGATTCCAGATTTTCAAATAGTTGTATCTCGGCCAAATATTGTCCTATCCTAACAAACCATACATCAATGGAAAGCTTATTTATTCAGTTTTCAGATGCTGTATAAATCTCAATTTCAAAAAATTGACCCTTATGACTGGTTTTGTGGTCCAGGGTCACAAATTTATTTGTGAAATTTACTAGCAATTTCTGAGTGAAAAATATTTCAAAATAAACATAATTTTTTCCAAATGTGCACTAGAGTGTTATTTTAGTATCATTTATATACTATTATAGTATTTATTATTATTTTGAAGCTTTTGATATATTCAGCTAGCTTTAATTTAATTTTGTTAAAAAATTTCAGTACTTCAACTTCAACTTATTTTATTTAAATTAGTTGCCAGGGAAACATTTATCATTTCTATTTTTAAAACATAATATTACATAATATTTATTATTTAATTCAATTTAAAAGTTTTAGTATTAGTTTTAGTTAACTTCAACAACATTGATTTGACAAAAAGCATCAGAAAAAGGTAAATCAAACATACGGTGTTTGGTTATAAAATAAGCTTTAATAAATGTGAATATACTGTAAACGACATTTGAGATTTTCAGAGAATAACAATTTAAATGTGTTTCTTTACACTGATTTTTTTTTTGGTGAAAACACATTTTAATTTTACTTTACTAAACAACTGTTCAAAAGCTTGGGGTCAGTTAGACATATCTTTTGTAAGAAACTAATAATTTTATTCACCAAGGACGCATTAAATAGTTCAAAAGTGACAGTAAAGACATTTATAATGTTACAAAAAATGTCTATTTCAAATAAATGCTGTTCTTTTGAGCTTTTTATTCAGTAAAGGATCCTGAAAAATGAATCACGGTTTCCACAAATACATTAAAAAGAACAATTGTTTCAATGGGAATAAATTACATTTTAAAATATATTATATTCTTTCATGTAATACTTTTTTTCTTCTCTTTTCCCTGGTAGAAAGAAAACCATATGGGTTTGGAACAACATGGATTTTTTTGGCTGAACTATACTTTTAATAAAAGCATAATCAAAACTCTCAGCACTTGAAGCCAGAAGTGGTTGAAATCGGTTGAAAACAGCTCTAGTGTGTCTAGTATTTAAACTCATATTTGCAGCTCTCTGAAATTAATCATCCTAAAATAACAGGCTCCGAAACATTCCCTTGTCTTTTCTTCCTCCTTTCTCTTCAGTCTCTCTGTTTTTATGTTTTTCATCATCAATCTCTGACATGGCTGTCGGGACGCGCTGGTATTTAGGTCTCATCAGGCACTGATCTAAAGAAAAGCCTCAGAAATCATTTTTCTCATGCAACACAGACTTTAATCAGCGTTTCAATCCCACTTTGATTCCTGCGTCTCAGTGAAGTTCAATCTCCAAACAAAAGAAACGTACGGTGAAACACACCCTTCTTCTGCGACCGCACTACGGTACACTGGTCTGAATTATACATGCATACATCTGAAGTCATGTCTCTAATTGGTAAACGGTTATTTTATCTATGAAAACAATGCTCTTAATATTTCTGACAGGAAGTAGAATGTAGCATGCATACTGTTTGGCAGTCAGAAAATCAAACAATCAAAGCTCATGTCTATTGCATTGTGGGATACACTGTTGCACTGGTTGCATATTATCAGAAAAAGGAAAAGGAAAAGTACATTTTCTGAAATGTAATTTATGTGAAATACTGTATACCACAGTCTGATAAATGGACGGCCGTATCAGCTAACGTCTCTTTCTTTGGCTTATTTTATTGGACTGCTGAAAGATGCATTTGACTGACACCAAACTGGATTAAAAATGTGAAATAACTTTTTATATATTAGATGATTGTTGCATACTATATACTGTTTCACATACTAAATAAAAATAGATTAAAATACATCAATAAAGTAAAGAGAAATTTGAAGTAAATAAAAATCTTAAATAAGAAATTTGCATAAATAAAAAAACCTGCATAAACAGATAAAATAAAATGTATGTATAAATAAAAAAATAAGAAATGTAAAAAATGTATACATAAATAAATAAGTAAAAATGTACAAATAAGTTAAATAAATAAATAGAAATGTACAATAAAATGTCTCTCTCTACATAATGTAAAAAAAAAAAGTAAAAAAAAGTAAAAAAAAAACATGTATAAATCAGTATAAATGCAAAATATGTATAAATAAATAAAATAAATACAAAACATACAAATATAAAATATTATACATAAATTATTACATTTATATATATATATATATATAAATAAAAATGAAAAATATGTATATATAAACAGATAACGTTCTCAAGGACAATCGTCAAGTACCTTCAGCCGGACACATTCTAGCGCTCACCGTCCCACATGTGTCCGTCTCTACACAACTCTAATCTCACAAACGCCAAACTGATGTGAGAGCGAGAGTTTCCTCCTGTCCGCCGCTCACGAGGAGGCCACTCTCAGTTAATTGACTGTCAGGCGGAGGGACACCGTGGCCTTTGGTGTAGCACATATGCATCTGGCCTTTTCCCATTCTCTTGCCGCTCTCTCACAGCAGGGAAGCAGTAAGGTAATTGTCAAAAGTCCTGGATGAAGGTGATTAGAGCATCATCTGAGTGAACGGCCGCCCGTGAGCCGCTCTGTTCCTGACGGCTGACAGAAAGTCATTTCGGAAAGACCGGCAGTTTTTTTTTAAAGGGGACACCAGTAATTCAACTACAACAAAACGCTCTACTTTGGTTATGTATGGGTGAGTGCTCTCTCTATGAATACAGTGCTGCTTGAAAGTTTGTGAACCCTTTAGAATTGTCTATATTTCTGCATAAATACAATCCAAAAAAAGTATGTCTCAAATAGGATTATTATAGCGACATACGGCTCAGAGTGGCACCAGAAGCCAAACAAATGAGCTGAATCTCAATGTCCTCTTGTGGGAGCGAAGCACCAGATGTCTCTCTGTGTGTGTAAACATGAGCTTCAGAGCTTAAACATGACGTCTGTACCTCAATCAACAACTTCCTAACAACTTTAGCCGTTTCACCCTCAACTGAATAAAGATCTGAAAGTGGTATAAGGGTGAAGAAATCATATATTCACCCCAAAACCAAAAGAAATGTTTTCATGAGACCTAAGTGCATTTAAATTCTACATTGCAAAAAAAAAAAAAAGATGACAATTAAACAGGCAAACAAATCTCAAAGCCTTACTTTACTTATGTTTCCATTATGAATTTAATTTATGCAAAAAATAATAAAAATAGCTGGGAGGTAGCCAATCATCTGAACGAATTAATCAGTCATTTATTCAATTGATTCTCATCAAATAAAACATTATTCTACCTAAAGTATATGGGGTCAGTAAGATTTGTTTTAAAGAAATTTACTTTTTTTTTTGGCAAAGATGCATTAAATTGATCAAAAGTAAATACATTTATAATGTTGTGAAAGATTTATATTTCAAATAAATGCTGTTCTTTTGAACTTTCTATACATCAAAGAATCCTGGAAAAATGTATCACGGTTTCCACAAAAATATGAAAAGTGAAAAGTGTTATATAAATACATTTGACTTGACACTGTAAATAAATAAATAAATAAATATTATGTATAATAATAATATATGCATGTGTCACATCAGCGATGTGTTTGTTGACAATATCTAATCAATAATTATTAATATAAAATCATTCTTTTCTCATATATATATATATATATATATATATATATAGATAGATAGATAGATAGACAGATCTAAATCTGATTTGTTATTGTACATAATTTAAAATACATTATTTAGTTATGCCTATATATTAATATGCAACTGATGCGTGGTCACAGGTGTACACATATTTGCAATTTCATTAAAATGTTTAAAAAAAAATCAACAGCAATATGATAAAAGACGACAATACCTAATCAATAATCATTATTACTAATACTTTCATTAAAATAGTTATTGTTATTAAAATTAAAATAGTTATTTTCTAAAAAATTTTACACAGTAAAACAAATTCAAATAGTTTGATGCACATGATGAACATTTTATTTGCATCCTGGTGTTTGTATCCAGTTTTTTTCTATGCAATATCACAATTTTTGCATAAAAATATGTGGATGGAAACCCAACTATATATCATAGAGACTCTTTTGACTTGTGCCTGTAAACAACAACTACCCTAGCAACGGCATACCAAAACTCCAAACACCTTAGCAACTGCATAATAACATGGATCTCAGTTTGATAGAATAGAGTACAACAGAACGTCTCGGTTACGTATGTAACCCTCGTTCCCTGAAGGAGGGAACGGAGAAGTCACGTCGTGACTGACGAATTGGGATCCCAATTCGTTGGTCACGACGTGCCTCGTAGTGAAAGGGAACTGTGATTTTTCCACATCATGTCTCTTACCTTCCTGCAGGTACATGACGGACTGCGAGTAGTTCTGCAGAGCGTGGTGTGTTCGTCCCAGGCTGCTGTAGGCCAGAGTTTTGGCCACCAGGTCGTTGGTCTGCGCCGCGATGCTCAGGTGCTGCTCCTGATACACCACGGCACGCTCGAAATTACCCAGCGACTCGTAAGTGAGTCCCAGGTTCCCGTAGGCCCGTCCCTGACAGCTGCCGCTGCCCGTCTCCTCCGCGATCTGGAGGTCCAGCTGGTGAAACTCAAGGGCCGTGTCGTGTTCGCCCATCAGCTGGTACACGGTGCCCAGGCCGCAGCTGGCATCGCCCTCCAGCAATCGATCTTGGGTGTCGCGGGCGATGGCGAGCTGCCGCTCCAGGCAGGAGATGGCCTGCTCGTAGTTACCCAGCTGGCTGTGCAAGCTGCCCAGTTCTCCGTACGCCTGAGCTTTTCCTCCACACTCTCTCAGCTCATGCGCCACCACCAACCGCTTCTCAAAACACACCAGAGACTGCTGAAGACTCCCCATCGCCCTGACAAACACAGCGAACCAACATTATACATATACAGTAAGAGGAAATACTTTGGTAAAACTCAACAATCTGATTGGTTGAGACACACTGTACAGTAAATTTATAATCACACAGCTCTTTATATGAAGCTGGATATGTAAGTATATCCAACTTTATCTGCATACATACAGTAGGACTCATGTACAGTGATTGTTTATAGTGTCGCAAAATGTAAAGTATATTGTCACACAGCTCTAATCTGCTAAATGTGAATATAAGGATTGAAGATGTTAAGATATTATAATCATTAACATCATGATTTTCTGCAAAGCTGCTATTGACCACAATGCGTGCTGTTAAAAACACTATACAAAGAAATTTGACTTGACAGTGTGAATAAATAAACAAACAAATAAATAAATATTATGTATAATAGTGTGTGCAATAATAATATCTCAAAATTAATTATTACTACTACTAATAAAATTACAAATTATTTTCTAAATATTTTCCACACACAGTAAAAGAAGAGACGATCCAAAAATACTAAAAAATATGACAGTCACACTGTAAATTAATTAATTAATTAATAATAATATAAGTAAAAATGTCATTGATGTTTTGTCACAGGTGTGCATATATTTGAAACTTCAGTAAATTGTAAAAAAACAAACAAAAAAAACAAACAGCAATGTGATAAAAGATGACAATATCTAATCAATAATTATTAATTATAATTTTTTTTTAAATAAATTAGTTATTTTCTAAAAAAGAACTCTCTCTCTCTCTCTCTCTCTCTCTCTATATATATATATTATGTATTTAATTTGAACAAAATATTATTTAATTCTAATTACAATTTCTTTTATTTTACAATAATTTTACACATATAGTAAAAAAAAAGAGTAAATCCAAAATACTGAAAAATCTGATCGGCTATTATATATAATTTAAAATATATAATAATAATTATATATTACTATTCAATTGATGTGTGGTCACAAGTGTGCATATATTAGGAATTTCAGTTTTATACTACTACAATTACTACTACTAATAATTCCAATAAAATTATAGTTATTAAAATAAAATTGTTCTGCCAAGTAAAATAGTTTAACATAGTTCACTAAAGGTATTGTAGATATCTTGGTGCATTAATATACAATTCAACTGACGTCACTGCTTGTATATTTCGTCCAATTCGATTTTAGTGCTGGAACTTTTCATTTCATGTAATAACATTTCAGTGATTTTACTACGGTTAAATCTGGCTTACGGCTTATTGCTTTATTAGCCCGCAGTGTGTCTGCTTCCAGACTGTGGTGTAATCAAATAGAAATAAGTGCAATGTAAATTTCAATTTGACTCTAATAAATTCCATGCAGAATGTTTACAAGCTGATATCAAATTTACAGAGCGATTTGGAGATGAATGTATTCCTTTGAATATGAACCTTCTCACATGAAACAGAATCTCAAAATGCAGTCTAGTTTAATGCTGCTAAAATACTGAATGTGAGGGAATCACGAGGGACGGCGTGCTTTAGATCGATATGAGCTATTCCAGCAACACACAGGTGGCAGGACAGCGCTGATGCAACTTCATTTAGAAAGAGAGATGCAGTCCATACACTCCCATCCGTCGGGAGAACGGGTTTGAAACGGGTTTCGGTACCGGCTCTCTGTGGAATAACAAAACCAGGCTTAATTCATATAAGCCGGGGACTCGCTCACTACTTAGGTAGCTTAAAAGCGATGCATCATTACCCCTTGTTGTCCTGTCACTTGAAATTACAGCAACATCAGTCTTGTTGAAAGGCCCTGCCTCATTTCAATATAAATGAAACAAACAGCTTTTAACGCGGGCCTTTAATGAGGTTCTTGTTGGATTCTTCTGCGCTATCTGAGGTAAAGCTCCTCTCTGCTGAGGGGAGTGCAAGCGCATTGTCACAACTGACAGTGTAATTTACCTTCCCGCTGGACCGCGGGAAGGACGGGGGTTTGGGTTTGGATGAGCTTGGCTCGTTGCGGGCCCGGTGTGAGTTCTCTTCCCACAATCCTTAGCGTCGAGCTTTGACAGGCCCCTGCAGCAAACCATTCATCATATTTCCATGCCCATATACTCGTAGGTAAGCAGAATCCACTAGGGTTTGTGACGGGAGCTGGAACGCTTAAAGGGCTGATTGGATGTTAATTAAAATAGATGCGTGGCAGATCACACTGAGGATGCTGGGTAGACATATATGGAGTGCATAGCTGCCCATAGAACAATTTGCATTTTTCAAGCAAATTAATTTTAGAATTAAGAGTTTTAAAACTGAGTCACTATTCATTTTTGGGTGAAATTTCTCTTTAAATCTTTTGAATGCTATTACATCTAATAACAGAATATCAAACAATGACGTATTTCAATAAAAGAAGATTGTTGAAGACCAAAAGAATTATGTAACTTTGCAATAGGATTTTTGGTGGTGTTTGAAACAAGCCAATTATTATGACAAAATTATAAAAAAAAATACATAAGTTGGGATCGACAGATAAAAGCATTATATATTCAGTAGTTATGTATATTTGCATTGCTCAACATTAGCAATTACATTAGCGACTCAAAACTCAAAGATTTGTTTGCATTATCTCTCAAAAAATGGTCACAGAATCCCCATATGGCATTTTTTAAATTAAAATGTTGTAATAAAGTAAATAATAAATGTTGCTGTTTATCATATATGGACTATTGTTAAAATTTTTTGAGCGATCATGCAAACAAATCTTTGAATAAGAGTTTTAAAATGAATTCACTATTCATTTTTGGGTGTACTATCCCTTTAAGTCAAAAACCGTATGAATGCCATTTCGTTAGATAACAGAATATCGAACCAGGATGTATTTCACTAAAAGAAGTTTGCTAGGTTTGAAATAAAATCATAAAGCAATAAATCTGCTGTTGAAGACAAAAGTATTCTAATCAACAGCTAAAAATGTTATATATTCATTATTTCTGTATTTGCAATGCAGTGGCTCAACATCAGTGAATCGATTCAAAACTCTGATTCAAAGATTTTTTATTTATTTTAAATAAATTTTATTTAAATTTTTATTTTTCCAAAATGTTCACAGAATCTCCATATGGCATTTTAAAAAATATTAATATGTACTAAAAATACATGTAATTAAATGTTGCTGCTTATACATGCTACATGGATTAACGTGAACGTAATTTGAGAGATCAAAGCAAATCTTTGAATCAGAGTTTTAAAATTGAGTCACTAATCAGTTTGAACTGATTCACAGAAAAACGTCCAAGTTTGCTTGTTTGCTACTAAAGTATAAATTAGAGATACAAAAAAAAAAGCACTAACATAGAGTGAATCAGTGACGAGTGAACATTTGAAGAGATTCTCCTGCTGATACACTCAAGCGACAGTGATTCCCAAATTTTAATGTGAGAAGCACAAAAAGTGCTTTTATGCTGTATGCATCTCTGTGTACATGCGTGCAGCCCTGCATACTGTCATTTCAGCATGCATGTTGAATGAGCTTGGCTCGTTGCGGGCCCGGTGTGAGTTCTCTTCCCACAATCCTTAGCGTCGAGCTTTGACAGGCCCCTGCAGCAAACCATTCATCATATTTCCATGCCCATATACTCGTAGGTAAGCAGAATCCACTAGGGTTTGTGACGGGAGCTGGAACGCTTAAAGGGCTGATTGGATGTTAATTAAAATAGATGCGTGGCAGATCACACTGAGGATGCTGGGTAGACATATATGGAGTGCATAGCTGCCCATAGAACAATTTGCATTTTTCAAGCAAATTAATTTTAGAATTAAGAGTTTTAAAACTGAGTCACTATTCATTTTTGGGTGAAATTTCTCTTTAAATCTTTTGAATGCTATTACATCTAATAACAGAATATCAAACAATGACGTATTTCAATAAAAGAAGATTGTTGAAGACCAAAAGAATTATGTAACTTTGCAATAGGATTTTTGGTGGTGTTTGAAACAAGCCAATTATTATGACAAAATTATAAAAAAAAATACATAAGTTGGGATCGACAGATAAAAGCATTATATATTCAGTAGTTATGTATATTTGCATTGCTCAACATTAGCAATTACATTAGCGACTCAAAACTCAAAGATTTGTTTGCATTATCTCTCAAAAAATGGTCACAGAATCCCCATATGGCATTTTTTAAATTAAAATGTTGTAATAAAGTAAATAATAAATGTTGCTGTTTATCATATATGGACTATTGTTAAAATTTTTTGAGCGATCATGCAAACAAATCTTTGAATAAGAGTTTTAAAATGAATTCACTATTCATTTTTGGGTGTACTATCCCTTTAAGTCAAAAACCGTATGAATGCCATTTCGTTAGATAACAGAATATCGAACCAGGATGTATTTCACTAAAAGAAGTTTGCTAGGTTTGAAATAAAATCATAAAGCAATAAATCTGCTGTTGAAGACAAAAGTATTCTAATCAACAGCTAAAAATGTTATATATTCAATATTTCTGTATTTGCAATGCAGTGGCTCAACATCAGTGAATCGATTCAAAACTCTGATTCAAAGATTTGTTTGCGTTATTTTTCCAAAATGTTCACAGAATCTCCATATGGCATTTTAAAAAATATTAATATGTACTAAAAATACATGTAATTAAATGTTGCTGCTTATACATGCTACATGGATTAACGTGAACGTAATTTGAGAGATCAAAGCAAATCTTTGAATCAGAGTTTTAAAATTGAGTCACTAATCAGTTTGAACTGATTCACAGAAAAACGTCCAAGTTTGCTTGTTTGCTACTAAAGTATAAATTAGAGATACAAAAAAAAAAGCACTAACATAGAGTGAATCAGTGACGAGTGAACATTTGAAGAGATTCTCCTGCTGATACACTCAAGCGACAGTGATTCCCAAATTTTAATGTGAGAAGCACAAAAAGTGCTTTTATGCTGTATGCATCTCTGTGTACATGCGTGCAGCCCTGCATACTGTCATTTCAGCATGCATGTTGAAGGTGGGGTCATGCTCTGATACAAAACAATTCCATCTTCAATCTGTTGCATGTTGTGAGAGCGTTCAGTGTCCGCCTGTTGACCTCATGGTGTCAGTCCTCATGTCGCCTGATACAGTTAGTGCCTCTATCAGACTGAAGCAACTGGAATAACAAGCAGCCTGTTGCATCATCACGAGACTCCACAGCTCCAGAATGCTAATAAATCATTCACACTATGTTAAAAAAAAAGTAATCTAATCTTGTCTAAGAGCATATTACACTCAAGTACGACTAGTACTTTTGTACATTTTTTACAGTGGCGTCAATAATTATTTAGGCACTTGAAGGAATAGTTCACCCCAAAATTACAATTGTCAGTTTACCTCATCCTCATGTCAATCTAAATAAAAATGAAAGTCAGTGGGGTTCAGTGTTGTTTTGAATCTCAATGAATTCCATTGCATGAAAAAAAAACAAAAAAAAAACAGAAACATTGTTCAAAACATCTTCTTCTGTGCTCAACTTGAAGGCAAATCACTACAATTTTCATTCTTGGGTGAACTATCCTTATATGTCACTTAAAAATGTATGAATGCTATTTGATCAGATAACAGAATATCAAATCAAGAGGCATTTCACCAAAAGAAGTTTGTTAGGTTTGAAATCAAAACATGTACATGTCTATATACTGCAAAAACAAGTATTTGTCCTATTTTCCAGTTCAAATATTTAAAAATTCTCTCAAAATACAAGATACACCCCGAGATACATTTATCACAAATGTAGTTCAGGACATTAAAAAGAGACATCTGAATGAGTTCTTAAGAATTTTTTGACTTGTTTTCTTTTAAAATAATTGAAAATCCTTAAAACAAGATATAATTTAATTAAGAAGCAACACTGCTTAAGATATTAGGTCGTTTTTGTCTTACTGCACTGGCATATTTTTACACTTGTTTTATGTTATAAACAAGTTAAAAACAAGTAAAAAAATCTGCCAGTGCAGTGAGACAAAATACACTTATATTCAAACTATGAAAAAAGTTGCTTATTTTAAGGATATTTTGAAAGAAAAAACAAGTAAAAAATCATTTGTTTGCAGATGCAACATGGTATGATATGTTTTCTATCTAAGTGTCGTTTGTGTGTCCAAGTATATTTTTGAGCCAGTGAAAAATTATAAATAACACAAAAATGGACATGAATTCTTACCTGTGTCCATTACCAAGACCTCTGTATGCCTTCTCCTGGTCCTGCATATGGTTGAGGCTCTGTGCCACAGAGAGATACTGGTCATAATACTTAATTGCCTCTTCAAAATCTCCCAGCGAGTCATAGCAGTCTCCCAAGTTCCCATAAGCACGACCACGGTCCAGCACGGCGTCATTGCCACTGAGCTGCTGCAACATTGCCAACTGTTGCTCAAAATAGCCAATGGCCTCCTCCATTACTCCCATGTTCATTTTCGTAATGCCCATGTTACCGTAAACCTGGGCCTCAATGCTGGGGTCCTTCAGTCGCTGGCCGAGCTCAAGCTGTTCCTCGTAGCATTTAAAGGCCATGGTGTACTTTCCAAGAGACATGTAGACGGCGGCGAGGTGTCCATGTGCCTGGCACTCTCCCTGGATGTCGCCTTGCTCCTGGTACACCTCAAGTTCCTGGGTGTGGTACCCTAAGGCCTTGTCGTATTTCTGTAGCATCCGGTAGGCAGCGCCCAACGCGGCGTAGGCGTTCGCCTCCATCTTGCGATCCTTGACTTGGTGCGCCAAGGACAGCTGCTGCTCGTAAAACTTGACGGCTCCGGGAACATCCTTCTTACAAAGGAAGATGTCTCCCAGGTTGCCCAAGGCGCGGAACCGAGCCTGCGAGTTGTTCAGTGACTGCGCCAAGGAAAGAAGGTACTTCTGGCACTCCTCCGCCTTGCTGTAGTCGCCAAGAGCCTTGAAGGCCAGGCCCAGATTACAGTAGGCTTTGGCTTGACTTAACTTGTCGTGGAGGTCCTTAGCAAGTGCCAGATCTTGTTCGTAGTACTTCACTGCCTCCTGGAAGTTTCCCAGACAGTAGTGCGCATATCCCAAATTGTGGCAGACCTTACCCTCGCTCTCCATGTCCTGCAATTCCGGGGAAAGCCGTAGGTACTGTTCATAGTAGGGTACGGCTTGGGGAAACTCTCCCCGAGAGCAGTGAAAATTACCCAAGTTGCCCAAGGCACGAGCCTCACTCTGGATGTCCCTCAACTCTCGAGCAATGTTCAGATGATTCTGGTAATGTTGCAAGGCTCGATCATGCGCCCCCAGAGCCTGGTACGCCACCGCCAGGTTACCATGCGTCGAAGCCTGCGAGGCACGATCGTTAACCTCCATGGAAATCTGCAGCTCTTGTCTGTGGTAGCGCACGGCCTGGTCAAAGGCACAGAGGGCATTGTAAGCATTGCCCATGTTTCCATACGCTCTGCCCTGGGCCGCATAGTCATTTAGCTCTTGGGCAATGGATAGATGAGCCTTGTGCAGCTTCAGAGCAGTGTCGTAGTCCCCTTTCATCTGGTAAATGATTCCTGTAAAGAAGAAAATAATAGTTTCATTCAATCAAATTGTGCTTATCATGCTTCACAGAATAACCAAAATGGTTTTTCAATATCTTCCATCCCTCTTCATCTGTTAAAGAAGCTAAAGATTAAGTGTACATTTAAAAAAGCAATGAACTACAACGAACCCAAAGCAAATCATCCAACCGGAAAAAAAAGGAAATAAGATCTGAGAAAGCCCACTGACACTTGTAGAAATATATTTTAATTAAAAAGGAGATCTGATCTGATTTGTGTAGTCTCGACTCGCCTTCAATCAAAGTTCTGCGCCCCAAAGATATGCCAATATGAGGCGATGGCAATCAAAACAGCCAGATCTGCTCAGTCCTGGGAGACTTCTTGCAAATTTTGGGTCCCCCTAATGTTGCCTGACCACTTTTCCACAAAATTATCATTACCGTCATAACATTACAGTCCCGCCTCTCCAGTTCCTGTACAGTACTTGGGGGGAAAGTAGAAGATCAGGGGAGGAAACAGGCTAATGAATACTTCTGATGGAAAAAGGGTTTGAGGGCACCAGCAATGGGAAACTTTAATTGTGGTCAACACCAGTTGGCTCCCACATCGTTGTATGCTTTAACCGGGTTTCTTTTCCTTTGAAAATCAGAGCTAAGTATTGGGGATAAGGAAAACTGCTGGGATGAGTGGAAAACAAGACGTGTCACTGGGGCAAAACTGGGAAGTCTATGGCGACCATTTGTGTAATTGTCAGAGATGCCGGCTGACCCGAAAATTAGTTCTGGGAATAGGATGCCAATGAAAACACATTGGAGGAAAGTAGAGTGCGAGATAAAAGTGTTTTTTAGAGAGATGTGGAGCCGTTGTTGATAGAGTGGCTTGGCATCTTGAGGGAACTCATTCGGTCTGCTGACTGAGTCACGGGCCACGAGCACGTCCTTCTGCGTGTGTGGAAGCAAGAGGCAAAGGGGGGTATCAGAATGGGTGAGGGGTTGCCCATCTGCTCAGTGTCAATACACATGTGCCAAGGCAGGATTACCAGCATGTGGTAAATCCAATTAGATCCAGTGCCAAGCTGGTATCCTGACACTTAGAGCTCTTCACTATTCACAAATATTTCCTCTAAAATAGCCCCAGTCTTCAGTGGCTAATTATCAATACTTAACCCCATGATTCTTCATTTATCAGCGAGCAAAGCTTCAGACAGAAGCTTGTTTGAAAATGAATCCTTTGAGACGTGTGCAGTGAAACGTGCCAGACATAAAACCTTTGATGAAAGAAACCAACACCTGCAGTTCTGTTTTTAAACGACTGGTCCTGCTTGTACTTTTAAACACTTTTATATTGGTCCAATGTGACTGCTAGGAACACAATACTAACAAGACCTAAAAAACTTCCTTGAGCTAAAAACAGAAACGCCGAGCTGAACAATTCTACACTGTCAGGACATAAATACTCCTTACTGTCTGCAAATTAACAGAAGGGACTGCTATTAATTCATAAACAGTAGGGAGTGTTTATGTGCACAAACTACTTAAACTAATGGATAATTTACAGCAGTTGTTCTAAAATTGTGGCATGCTGAGTGCCCCCTGGTGGTATGCAACTTGGCTTAAAATTTATAAAACTAAAAAAGGCTTGTGTAAAATGTTATTTATTTACTTAAAAATTGATATTAATAAAACGTAAAAATATTTTACATTTTATAATCAATAAAATTTAAATAAAAAATACAATAAGTAACATAAATTATATAAAAAATATATTAATATATATTCGCTTACAGCTCAAAAAGATGCAAATGTGCTCATTGCAAAACAAACAAAAACAAAAACAAACAAAAAAGATATGCACAAATTAAGCAACAGCATGATAGCACGCCACTGCGACTTTGACAGTCACACCACAGCCGGCTTTATCTTCATCATTTCGTATTAAGAATGGGGTCACGGCTACAAAACAAAATAGCACCTCTTTGATAGGTCAGTTAAGAGGATTACACAGTCACCTGCGGACGCTGCAGGAATGCATATGGCCTCATCGTTAAAGTTAAATCCCCAGAGCCGACACGCAGGAGAGGGTGGGATGAGACTGGGGAACAGGATCTGAGACTGATTGGAGATCAGTGAAAAGGTTAAAAACTCCTCAGTGTCTGCTCTAAGGGGTGAATAATAATTGCAACGATGCATGATTTGGCTAAAGAAGACGGCAGGCTCCAAGAGCCTCTGCCTACATTAACAGAAGTGGGATTTTGATGATGTCTTTCCAGCTTTGATGCCCTGCTATGTAACGAGTGATGGGCAGCCCTTCAAACAAACATTAAAAATACTTCCCTCCCCAGGCGGTCGTTTCGCCTAAATGCATGTGAAATGTAGTAATTTAATCTTCAAATGGCACAATCCAGTATATATATATATATATATATATATAATAAAATAATAATTAGTAAAATAATTCAATATATTTACAAAACTTTTAATACAAAAAATATAAAATATAACAAAATATAAATAAATAAATACATTTTTGAAAAGTTTAAGTTGTTTACTTTGACGAATTCCCACTAAGAAGAAAGAGATGAACCATTCAGAAAAGTAGATGGGGAAACAAATTATGCTAAAAACATTGAAAAAGACATCATTTGAGTCACTCCCCATTTCACAATAAACTTAAAATAAGTAATATTTTGTTTTTACAACTTAAATTAATGCCAGATAGCAGTTGTATATTGTAGTATTATTGTCATCTGCAATGCTTCATGGGAAATGATATTAATTTTGCTGTAGGTTTGTCTTTTATTCAGATGTTTTTGCTTCAAAACAAAGTTTGTGGTGTTGTGATTCATTCCGCAGCTGGTTCAAGGCTGCAGAAAACGCAGAAAAACGTTGGCTTCTAGAAACGACCCCTCTTAATGTTTTCACCTCAAACATACACTCTACTTATTTAACGGAAACCAAAATTGTACGCAAAGTGACTGCAATAAGAAGTGGCTGACGGAAAGTAAAAACATAATAATAAGTGCAGCTGTATTTCAGCAGGCATGTCAGCTCCACAGCTATTTTCTTCAACCCCAAATGACTGAAACGCCATGACTTTTTTATTTTATTTTTACTGAGAATGTCCTACTTGAACTCATTACATAGCTGTCGCTTTTCAAGCGTTCCCGCTCCGTAAAGGCTGTGACATTCCGAATGAATTAGCTTTAGCGTGGACTCGCCTTCAAAGCTCGACTTCCCGACGAGATTTTGACAACTAAATGAAACCGATCAAGCCAGCAGTCATCAGATATGTGTTAAATTCTTAATATAGTACATTTAATAATAGAACACATTTACTCTGATTTCAAGTCAAAATCATGTCATTGTGACAATTTTAAAACATGCATGAAAGATGTTAAGCTGAAAAAAGGGCTGTGTGACCATAACAACCAAAATTGTACGCAAAGTGACTGCAATAAGAAGTGGCTGACGGAAAGTAAAAACATAATAATAAGTGCAGCTGTATTTCAGCAGGCATGTCAGCTCCACAGCTATTTTCTTTTGTTATGATTCCTGTCTGTCTCTCAAAACCATTCCAGTCTCGTCTCCTCCCATTCAAATGCGAATGCTAACTAGGCCCGATATTCTGCCGTATGATTTATAGCTCAGAGCCAGTCTTGAATAACCCTAGGGAAAATGGGGACAAACAAATGGCAGACTAGGGTCAGCTTTGTTGTTGGCTTCAGAAGAAGAGTAAAACAGTTGAACACTGCGGCTGGCAACAGTTTGCCAGATGCATTACTTTGACATTAAGTCTCTTGCAGAAAACGTGTTTATTCTCTGCTTCCACTTTTAGCTAAGCAAAGCGCGGTTAGTGTTTTTTTTTTGTTGATAAACACCCTCTTAAAGTCTGAGTAACGGGAGTCTGGCTTTCGGAATTCTTTGGAATTTTCAAACCGTTTTGAAGATCTATTTTGGAATTTCCAAATATTCCATTTCCTCTATATCCCTGGTGGTTTTGGCGCACTTTTGCATACTTGCACTGCCGCAGTGTACTGGAGACGGCACTAAATGACTGTCTGTGGAAACAGGGCCTCAAACGTGACCGCTGGTAACAACTGTCAAAGCAACACATCAAACGGGCTTTGCACACTACACTGAACCCTGGGTTAATGCATTTGAACCTTGTGTTAATGATGCTTTTAACGGTTCTTTAAGCAACGTTTCACACTTGTAATTTCGAAAAGGGGTGAGCGCCCTGAGTTATGAAACCCTTGATGGTGCAAATCTAATGGATTCTAGAATGTTATGGTGAGTTGTTTAGCAACAGATAACCAATCATTAACCAAACATTGCTTGTCTCATATTAAATATTATTTCATATATGATTTAATATATAAATAATAATTAAATAATAATAATAAAAATAATGATATAAATGAATAAATAATAAATATATATATATCTTTAAATAATAATAATATATTTATTTTTGTCTTTGTTACTAGGTATGTTTCTAAAGCAAATTTCCAGATTGATAAGCACACTTAAAATCTCATAAATATGTACATGAACCCAGAATTGACCAAAGTACAGTATGAAATATCTAAACCTGATTACCCAGAACTTAATAAGTACGAGCAGAACTTGTGTAATTTTCAACCAGTGTGGGTTTTCATTAAAAGATAATGATTTACTTTACTTCATGAGAAGCTATTCACTACATTAGATAGAAGTATCAGTTCTAAAGCTGCTCCATGGGTCTTTAAATGACTCAGAATATTAATTTAAGGAAAAAGAAATTAGATAAACCGGCTAATATTCTGCCTACAGCAATGGAGCGTAGAAAATGAATATCAACAATGTGTAATGTTCTAAAACAAGAGTCATGAGAGAAAATTTCCCACACACCAATAACTCTACTGAAACACACACATTGCTAATAGTACTTAAGCCATGAACATTAGTATTGACATTTTACTATTCTAATCTTAAATATTAATGTTACAGTGAAATAACATATTTATTTAGTAA